CCTGGATGTCTGGCCTCATTCCAAAAGGCGTATGAACCGAACTCCGGTCACCGGATGCCAATGATAGTGGACTCCTTACTCCACTCCTACTGCCTTGTAGGTCACACTTGGCTGTGTAAAGGCTAGAGCTGCACTCTCAAACAAAAGGCCGAGCGATGCTGGGGACATCACTCGTACCAAATTCCCATGAAACTTCATGAACTCTCTTACAAATTGCCGCGCCTGGGAAGCGATGATTCGAGACGTTCATGAAGCCGGCTCATCCTCCCGTAGGAGATAGCCGAAGTAAAGAAAGAAAGAAGAAACAACAATTATTTGTTTACAATTCAATTTTAATTTTCCCATTGATTGATTTGACTTAAATGTTCAGAAGCTACAGTGATGCTTGAAGACATAACCTGAAGTAATATGGTGAGTAGTGACTAACATAGGACTCTAGGATGCATATTTCCGCTTGTTCAAGGCATAATGCATGACTCAGTTGATAACTTAGGCATCGGAACAATTGTGATGTCTTTACATGAAGCAAGCACAACATTTGTACAAAGTGATGTCATTATTAGAATGACATACAATATCCGCACATATTCCGAGGACAGTAGCAGGCAAACTGTCTGAACTTAGAGACTGAGAAGGTTCCAAGGAATAGAAACATCATTTGTATTAAAACACCAGAAAAGATTAAAAAAAAACAAAAAGAGGAGACGTTCAGTGAAGAGACTCTTTTCGACGGCGAATTCATTCACATTTATATACAATTATTTTGTGTGTGTGTGTGCATGAGGTTTGTCAAGTTCAGATAATTAATTAATTAGGTAATACAAGAATGATCTAATATAGAAACAAGTTGAATTAGACAGCAACTAAAGTAAGATTGAGTTAGTAAGTTAGATGATTTAATATAATTGACCAGAATGTTTCAAATTAGGTCAGGGTAGCAACAGAGGTAATTACAGGTAGAGACTAAGTAGAGGTGGGATAAAGAATAATGCCATTTAAATTAGGATTAAAATTGAGCAAATAAATTGAATGACGTAACACAAATAACTAGAAATTGAGTGTTGGTCAAGTCAGTAACAGTGGTAATGGGGTGTAGAAACTAAATCCGGTGGGGTAGAAAACAGGAAAGTTGAAAATGTAAAATATTACAATTGACAACAAAAAATAATACTAATGAAGAGATAGAAAGAGAGAAAGAAATAGAATCTACCTGTCGGGTAATAAAGTAGATCACGTTCATTGCAAGTGTAGTGATTGCACGTTCTTCTTCCCGTATACAGAGTTCAGGACTTAGCAAGTGAATTACCATTGCTTCTGCAGTTTGAAGAAGTTTGATTTGTACTTTTTTAGGAAGACTGCTTCATATTCTGTAGGCGACTCTGAAGTTTTTTTTTCGGTGAAGCTTGCTGTCTGGAATTTAACAGATGTTCTACAATAGAGCTGTTGGCGCATCGTTTTTCTCCTTTGTAAAACTATTCTGGTCAGTGTTCGGTGATACGTTTAGAAAGCGAACGCTGGGTACGACCGATATACCCGGCTCCACAAGAGCAGGTAAACGCGTAGATGTACCCTAACGTCAATGCAAATAATTGGTTTCGTGAGAAGCTTAGTCGTAGTTCTGCTGCAAAGAAGGTTTTCCTAATTGAACGCGACAGTCGATTTTTTCAGTGTTTCCACAGATGAATCTCCATTGAAATGGAGGTTTATGTTGAGGAGTTTTTTTTCGAGGCGCTAAGCATAGGCTGCTCTTGTGGTCTAGGATTCATGGAGTTTGTAATAAATCTTTCTGGGAAACAATTCTTGACGAGGATTCTCTTGAGATTGTGCATTTCGTCTTCTATGGTATCTGGAGTGGAGGTGCTGTGACCTCTGCAGCTGAGTGAACGAGTCAGGTTTCGTTTGGTACCCACAACACTTCGTTCTGCATCAACGTTTTGTAGATAGATCTTTTCACTTTTCGGTCTTGTTCTCGTCTTCTTAATTGAACGTCAAGAAAGGATATTTTGGAGTTAGATTGTTTCTCTTATGTGAACTGAATTGCAGAGTGGCAGTTGTTAAAGTAATTAAGATGTCGTCTAGATTTTCTTCATTGTTGACGATAACAAAAATATCATCGACGTATCTACTATAGAATTCAAAAGGTATCGATCATTTTCTTCAGACATGTGTGACAGGAAGTTATGCTTCATGGGCCATCAGGGCGAATCTCAATGGATGAATGGTCTACGAGCTTGCCTTGAAAGCGGGAGCTCATAGGTTCGAAGTCCCGTGTGCGCGTACTCACGATGAGTCTTGTACTGGGACAAAACAGCCTTCCACCACTGCCGGGTTGACTTTCAATGGCTCTTCAGCTTATATCAACCCGTTATCAAACTTGAAAAATGAAATCAAAACTCAACAAATAATTACTTATCTTCTCGGGGTCAACCATTATTCTTATCTTAGCTAAATTCTTATGTCCCGACAATCTGGCTACCCCGATCTACTAGTTTGACGTATCTAGTTGACTCAACTCATGGTTACTGAAAGCTATTTTGTAAATTATATTATTGTGTTTAATTGGCTCCACCGACTGCGTCCTTTAACCTACAGAGCTTGTCCTACCTGAGTGAGTTTGTAGGTTTTAATGTCACCCTAATTCCTCCTTTATTAACAATCCCACGTAGAGTTTCAGATGTCCCCTCCCTTCTTATATGGTAAAACTACTATAGATGCCTTATATTCTCTCCTATTTATGTTATCATTATTAGTTTCACCATTATTTTTATTTTGACCTTTCTTGATCTTCCTAATGAATTTTATTGGATAGTTAGTTATTTAACACCAACCAGCCATTCTTCTATCTGCTTCATTTCATCGTTTAGATTCGTTAATGTACTACTTACTGCTATTGCTCCGTTCGTTAGACGCTTAACTAGGCCAGCCTTCCCAGATAACGACAGATGAGATGAATTAAAGTCTAAATACCTATTAGAATGCGTTGGCTTTGTTTTTTTCTAAATTTTTGATTACAGCTTGATTCCACACTGTATATTTTTGGTAAAAGTATGGAATTTTTCAGCATGGATATATCGGTAGCCCAAATTTCGCAGGCCGACCATAGATATCAGGTGTGAGTCGGCAGGGGATTGAATCTCGGACCATGTAAATGGTCAGCAAGAGTCCTGACCACTGTGCCATCGATGCGTTGGATTTGCTTGCTAGTGTTCAGTTTACCTTCTTCTATTTGTTTTGCATTACAATCTAACATCATGGCTAATTCTCCTTGTTCATTTTTCGATTCAAATATGAATTACATTCCCTTTACTACTAATGAGTTTACATGTGTCAAGAAGCTAGAGAGAAATATGTTCTGTTTTAAACACTGTGTGTGAAAGCGTCAATTATCCACATATCTCCACCATATTTTCGGAGTAGGTTTAGGTGAATGTTTTAAGAGCAATATTTTCCCAGCTGTCATCCATAAATTTATCTGCTACAACAGGAGATATTGCTGATCCATCCAATTGCTACACATTCAGTTTGCCCATATATTTCATCCAGGAATTTAAAGATAGTAGACGTGAGGCATAAATGATTTCTTAAAATAGTTTCCTCATTTGGTAGCTTCGTCCTATAAGTGACTTCAGGATATGTAGTTACCTTATTCTTTTTAACATAAGAATTAAGCTAAGGTGAGAATGTTTGACCCTGAGAAGATAAGTAATTTAGAAAAAAAACTTAGCACTACATTGCACTGCACGCATTAACACACAACCACACAATAAGGTGGGTGGGAGAGGGTTATGATCCTAAAAAGTAATCTATGTAGACGGAGATAGAGAGAGATTGATTCCTGAATCCCTGCTCATCAAGTCTACACCCGACACGTACAACAGGAATGAATAATCACTCATACCCGAAATATGAAGAATACTACTACCAATCAAATCAGGCGATAAAAAATTATTATTATTATTACTATTGGATCCTTTAGTTCCTAGAGGAACATAGGGCTTCAGCTGCGCACCTCCATTGCCTTCTGTTTTCTGACAACTTTTTCACCCCGCTCCAGGTCTGTCCACATGCTTTCATCTCCTCCTCAAATGACCTCCTCCAGGTCACCCTTGGACGACCAACTCCCCGCTTCCCACTCAGTCGGGTTCCACTCGAGCAATGGCTTGTCTAGTGACGTCACTTGATGGTTTCCTCAGCGTATGGCCAATCCATCTCCATTTCTTTCTGCCTATTTGTTTCACAATCGGTTCCTGGTTGGTTCGCTCATTGCCAGAGATCCCTGCTGCTGATCTTTTCTGGCCATCTGATCTTGAGTATTGAGCGAAGACAGCTGTTAATGAAGGTCTGAGGTTTGTTTGAGATGCTCTTTATGACTCGCCAAGTCTGTGATCCGTATAGTGAGTAGCACTGACTTTACATTAGAGTTGAAAATCCGGATCTTCTTTGTGATGCTGAGTGCTGTTCACCTCCACACAGATTTGAGAGTAATGAAAGCTTGTCTTGCTTTTCCAATTCTGGCTTTGATATCCTCATGAGCTCCGCCTGTAGTTGAAACGATTCTTCCCAGGTAGGTAGGTGAAGGAGGCTGTTTCTTTCAAGTTCCTCCCATTTATACTGGCTGATCATTGTCTGTTGTTGTTGTTGATGTTGGCTAGGAATCTTCATCACTTCTGTTTTATCTATGTTCACTTGAAGTCCTATGTTTGATGCTTCTTCTGCCAACTTGTTGCTTTTCACTTGCATATGAAAAATAGTGATGGAATTATATAAACGAAGTGAGAAAGTTGTATGAGTGAGTGAGTGCCTTGATATGATTATGAGCAGGAATAATTTGTGCTCGAATCGTGGTCATCTATAAATATTACAGTATAACACTGTGAGTCTTTGTTAAAACAAATTTTACGCATAATGGAATTATACACCATCACCACCACAGTGCACAAGTTTTATTCTTATATCAACAAATATCACTCAAGGAAAAAGCAAACACAACTCAGTCTAACCTTTTGGTTAATTTCATGTTTCTCCTCTGATCGACTCTGTTTTTTCTCAGTTAAAACACATTCGGATTTTTCAAATTCTTTTAACAAACGAAATTCATCATATAGTGTTAATTGGTGAAGATCAGCTCTTTTCAGTAAGACATCCAACTTGAATCGTACATGTCTTAACAGACGTAATTCAGCATCGAAACAACGAACAAGTCGACTTGCTGTTGCCAACCACATATCACGTTCATATTTAGCTCGAATAAATCTTTGTTTTTGTAGTTCAGCTTCTAGATTGTTTCCGGTTATAGTTTTCTTATGTCGAGTACCTCTTGTCGTGAAACTGCCTTCACTAAATGAATTCAAGAAAGAAAAAAATAAGGTAAGAAAGAATTATGAAGATTGATTGATTTCTAGATGCTTATGCGAGATTTTAAAAGACAGATTTAATTATTGTTATATTATTGTTCCCTTCGGTTCCTGCTGCAAAAAAGGGCTTCAGCTGCACATATCCACTTGCCACTTCTGTCTTCCGTATGCCGTACTTTTCACCTGAATCCATCCATGTTAGTCCATACTCTTTCAACTCCTCTTCACACGATCTCCTCCATGTCACCCTTGCACTGACGTCTCACTCGTCGCGTGCTTCCCTTTCGGCCTGGTTCCACTTGAGCAATGGCCTGACGCGAGCGCAATGTCACCCAGTGGCGGCCTCCTCAGCGAGCGAGTGTCCAATCCATCTCCACCATCTCTTGCATATTTGTTGGTTGGCGATTGGTCCTTGTTTTGTTTGTTCCCATAGTTTCTTGTTGGTGATTCTTTCCGGCCCGGCCGGCCATCTGATCTTCAGTATAGATCCAGCGGAGACAGTTGTTGGTTAATGAAGGTCCGCAACAGGCTGTTGGAAATATTCTTTGTGACCTGCTCGACAAGTTTCTGATCCGTATAGAAGAACTGACTGACTTGACGTTGTTTGTTGATGCTGGCTGATTGACGAAGATTTCCAGATTGGTTGTTTCAGTTTGATGAATGTGTTTCTCGCTCGCCTTCCCTATTCTCGCTCTATTTGACATCTTTGTCCGTTCCGATAACCTGTAGTTGAAACGATGCTTCTTCGATAAGTGAAGGAGGCAACCTCAGTTAAATCTCTCCCGCTGGTGGTTATTGGTCCTGGTTGTTGTTGCTGCAGCTGTTGATTAGTTATATTCATCACCTCCATCCTCTCTGTGATCACTTGCAGTCCTGTCTTCGATGCCTCTTCATGCAGGTTGTTGATTTTCGCCTGCAAGTCTTCGATTTGTGTGTGACATCAAACATAAATCATCCACGTGCGAAATCGAGGACTTCTGGGTTCTTCACGTCGGTCGGTCCAAGATATCCCTGTCTTCTCGTTTCCCACTGCACTGTCTTACACATAATCAAGTCCACCACAATTAGGAATATCATTGGTGATAGATAATAAGCGAGCAACCTTGTCTGACTCCTGTGTTTACTCCAAACAAAAAGAATATTCCCATTTTGCGATATCACCTTCTTCATTAGGTTCTAGGCTTACATGCATCTATAATAATTAAAGAATTCAAGGATTGATTTGTAGGGATTTTGTTTCACTGGTTACAGGATTTCATCATGAACTGACTTCATCTAGAGAACCAACGGAAAACCAGCTGGGAGTATTAGACACCTAGCTGTTTCGTTCTAGCTTGGGAGTCTTCATCAGTAGGCGCAAAGGAATACAGGAGTACGACAAAGCTGCCTTCCTATTACCACCGATGATACTTTCCGAATAGTGATGGACTGAATTTTTGCGTCAGACTGTGGTGAGTGAGGAGTCAGAAGTACGCTGGACGACCAATAAGAAGACTATAGAAGATCTGGATTTTGCAGGTGATATATGTCTAATGTTACATAAACTCGAAAACTTACAGGCAGGCAGGCAGGCGAAAACCAACAACCTGACTGAAGAGGTAGCGAAAACAGGATTTCAGGTAAACACAGAGAAGATGGAGGGGATGAAGATTTGACGGAGGTAACTTCCTTCACCTATCTAGGAAGCATCGCTTCAACTACAGGCAGCCGGAACGGTTGACGATGTCACGATCGGCTGGAATCAGAGAGGCAGGACACGCCTTCATCGACCTGAAACCAGTTTGGAAATCTCCTGCACTCAGCATAGGGGACAAGATTAGCATCTTCAACACAAATGTGAAGTCAGTCAGTGCTTCTATACAGGGCAGAAACTTAAAACTGTGTGTCACAAAAAGCATTTCCAACAGAATGCAGACCTTCATCAACACCTGCCTGCACCGGCTGCATACTGAAGACCAAATTGCCAGAAAGAATAAGCAACAAGAAACTATGGATTGAGAATACATTGCGGGGGCCGCCAAATCACATCGTACGGCAGGCCCTCGAGTGGAATCCTGTTGACAAGCGATGAGTGGGTCGTCAGTGCGAGGGTGACGTGGAGGAAATCGTGTTGGGAAGAGGTGAGGAATTATGGGCAATCGTCGACCCAGCTGAAGAGGATGGCAGAGAATAGAACAAAGTGGGGGGATGCGTTGTTGAACCCCTACGTTCCCTTCGGAACGCAAGGATTAATAATATAGTAATCAGTACGCAACCACCGCTACGGTTTGAATCCAGAGACTTCTGGTTACAAGGTGACCACTAGCCAATGTCTTCGGCGAGTACGCCCCTAGGTGAACTCTCCAAATTATTAACTGGAGAATTAATAATTTACCCCGGCCACCCAAACGACAACCACAAGAACACTGAACGAATGACTATTATGTTGTCACTAACAGAATTCAAAAATTCTACTAGAGGCTAACAGTATTTAAGGAAAGGAAACACTGATGAAGTTTAAGGAAAATAGTTTTATCACTTAAAACACTAACAGGTTTCGTCCTGGTCCGATTCTCTTCATCACTTCGCACCCATTGGGGCTTGAACTCAGCACCTTCCGGTGACAAGGCAGGTCCACAAACCATTGAGCCATTGGGACCCAATGAAGCGGTGCGAACTAGGACGAAACAGCAGTTTAGTACTCCCTGTCAGTTTTCCAATGGTTCTCTAACTGATGTCAACTCGTGACCAAGCCTGTAACCAAACAAATCCCTGTAAACCAACACTCGATAACGTAATATATATTCATTAGGCAGTATGTATATTTCCTACATGTGACAAAGGAGCTACACCTGGAACAACAGAACGCAAGACATGGAAGCCAAGGTTCATTTTCTGTTGATTAAACCGCTGTTTATATATGCACAGTTTATATTCGTTGACCAATCTCTACGCGTGTGTTTTCGGTTTACATCAAACGACAAGAAGTAGGACTTCCTGCTGCTAACGCAGTACTGAACTGTAGGAAAATATTCCGTCTCTAACATCAAATAGAATCTTCAAGTAGATATATCGTATTTTGTTGCTTATGCGAATTAAACTGCGGGAATATGTGAGTGTAACATTCCGTTTGCCCACATTGTCTCTATCACATCATCAAACTTTTCCTCCCGTTAAAATCTTTCGACTGAGGTCGTTTGGATCTTCTTAGTTCTGGCGGCTTCATTAGCTTGTCTGGCTGTAGTGAGTTGCGGAGCTCGCTGACGTTCACCCAGTGCTCTTTGTTTGCATTTCTGTTCGTACATACGTGACTCTGTCTCACAGTGGCCAACGTATGGTCTTTCACACCTTGAAAGCAGTTCACATGATCCTGGCTCGCATTTAACTGGTGTTTTTCCCTCACACTATAATATGCTGCCGTCATCAGACCTCCTAGTAGCGTTCCAAGTATCAGCCTCATTGTTGAGGGATCTTGAACTCCATTCAACTGCTGAGCAGCCTCAAAGTCCTGCTAGAAGATCTATATGTCTCCTTCAGAAACTGTGGGACTTGAATTGATCATTTGTCAGCAGGTAACAACAGAGGGCAAAACATGGAAGCCGAGGTACATTTTTTTCATTGATCAAACCGCTGTTCATTTATATATATACAGTTTATATTAGATATGATGGAGATGATTTGTAGCTCAGATGGATGATTTTGATGTGGTTATGTTCTCTAACCTAAATAGTTAATTTGCGTTTGCGAAGCTTTCATACGCCAAAGCCAACCTATCAAACCAAAAGCCCCCAAGGAAAGCACAAAGAAAATCGTCCTAACATTTATAAAGGACATCTCAAAAATCACTGGGAGACTCTTCAAACACTTAGGAAATGACGTCGTACACAAACCAACAAAGTCACTTCACTCAGCTGGATCTGTGTCGACCGAAAGGCTTAACAACGAAAGAAGATAAAACCAACATCATCTACAAAATAAATTGTAAAAACTGCCAAAAAACACTACATTGGCCAAAGTGGACGTCCCCTTAGTCTGCGTATCCATGGACATAAGCTAACCGTCAAAAGACGTGACATTGACTCCCTCACTCATATCGCTGCATACAGACAACCACGGACGTCAATTCGACTGGGAAAACCAACTTTCAAATATTAGACGGAGGAAACAACACGAACGCTAGAGATTTTTTAGAAGCCAGCCTGGTATTCCAATGAATCATCAATCAATAGACACAATTTATCAACCGATAAGAAAGAAACCTCCACACACACACACAAAGGGTCAGAGTTCAAGTCAAGGAAACAATCAGTAGGAATACAAGTGATCTAGAGGGTGTGGAAACACACAAAAACAACCAATGACGTCCAAGATCACCAGGAGAGATGAGTAACAAATATATGCATTAAAAGTCAATCTGAATGAAGAATATTCTTTTCAATAATTTCTCCTCTTCAGGTTCTTACAATTATAAAATATGCAATATTTGTTTTCGTTACAATAGTGATGGCCAGTTAATGATGAGGCGAATACATTTTTAACGTAGGATAGCAGATTAGTAGTTATGGGGTGTCAAAATAAATAGTTGTGTTTGTGTGACAAACAAGCTCTGAGCTGAAATCGATTACCAAAATATTGCAAAACGGGAGACAATGGTGGTGATCGGTGTTCATAATAGATTTGTAGAGTGTGGGGTAGGAAAATTGACAAGTCAGTTTGTTGAAGGTTATAAAAGGAGTCAGGTGAGTGGAGTGGCTGGTACAAAGTGGTATGTATTAAACAAGAGATAGTAAGATTGCAATGAGAGGTTCATTCGTCATGAAATAATGAATGTGTGAAATGAAACAGGTGGAGGCATATACTGAGAAAAGAGATAATATCACCAATAATAAGTCCGGATAGTATAAATGGAAAATTCGATAGTATTGACAAAATGTTTGCATGAAGGGCATAAATTATGACGAATAATAATAACTGTAATAATAAGCAAAGGAAAGAAAACCGAGAGGGTTAAGGGGAAGAAACGCTTTTGGCGAGAAGAAGAATCATCAGTCCAAGTTTGGCCACGGTAGGAACAGCGTCTGGACGTGTTCTTTTTGGATGCATAGTTCCGGTTTAGTCGATCTTATTGCAACAGATTCAGCTATGTGTAGGAGACGTAAGCGAACTGTACGTGATAAGAACTTCGGAATTCGGTATATTTTGACACCCCATAACTACTAATCTGTTATTCTACGTTAAAAAATGTATCCGCCGCATACCTGGCTATCTTTGTTGTAACGACCACAAATACTATATTTTATAATTGTAAGAACCTGAAGAGGAGAAATTATTGCAAAGAATATTCTTCGTTCAGATTGACTTTTATTTCATAATAATAGGAATATTTCACACTAGATATGATAGAGAAGATTTGTAGCTCAGGTGGATGGTTTTGATGTGGTTTTGTTCTCTGAGCTGGATGGTTAGTTTGCGAAGCTTTCATCACCTTACTGGGTGACATCTTCAGCGCATACTTCAATTTGAAGTGAGCTTTTAGATTTTTCCACGAGTTTATTAATCATCTCTCCTGGTGATCTTGGACGTCATTGGTTGTTGTTTTTGTGTGTTTTCACACCTTCTAGGTTACTTTTATTGGAACTGATTGTTTCTTTGACTTGAACTTTGACCCTTTGTGTGTGAAGTTTCTTTCTTATTGGTTGATAAATTTTGTCTAATTTTTGAACATAAGCTAGCCGTCAAAAGACATGATATCCACTCCCTCATTTCACTACACACAGACAACTACGGACATCAATTCGACTGGGACAACGTTCAAATATTAGACAAAGGAAATAACAAGAATGCTAGGCAATTTTTAGAAGCTTGCCACTCCAGTGAATCATCAATCAATAGACACATCGAGATAGACAAAATTTATCAACCAATAAGAAAGAAACTTCACACACAAAGGGTCAAAGTTCAAGTCAAAGAAACAATCAGTTCCAATAAAGTAACCTAGAAGGTGTGAAAACACACAAAAACAACCAATGACGTCCAAGTCACCAGGAGAGATGATTAATAAACTCGTGGAAAAATCTAAAAGCTCACTTCAAATTGAAGTATGCGCTGAAGATGTCACCCAGTAAGGTGATGAAAGCTTCGCAAACTAACCATCCAGCTCAGAGAACAAAACCACATCAAAATATTTCACACTATCAAATATATATATGAGAAAATATCTATTGTGTTGGAATACACACACACACCCTGTTGTCACTGTATCACACCACCACAAAACACACTCACCTTGGATTCGTTTCTAGATCAGTTATCAATGATATCGCCTCGACTTTATCAGTGGCATCTGTTTTCTCGGCTATATCAGTTTCAATTTTTTGAATATGACAGGAAGTCACCTTGTCTGGTCTTATCGGTCGAGATAACGATATTTTCATGAAATTATTTGGATCTTGTGATTGTTGTTGTTGTTGCTGCTGTTGATCTGTCGGATGATCGTCTAGCATGGTACTGTCACTCGCCTGAAATACTGAGATTTCATTAAACGTTTTATACTGTGAATATTTTATGGCTGATAACGATTTATCAGGATTATCATTTGGAAATACTTGATATGTATTCATTGTTAAATAATGCAACGGGAACCAGACAATTGATTTGACAATTTGTTCACTTTCACAAACATCACTAGTCATATCTGGTTCAGTACGATAACTTCTTTCTGATGGAAGAATTGACTCAGTAAAGGACATTTTTGTGCCCAGTAACTTCTGTATTCGTGAAGTAAAAAAAGGAATATAAAGAAACGTAATTTATTGAATGAAAATTTTTAAAAAATTAGGCGACTAACTTGTTATAAGTATAAAAACTTGAGCACTGTGCTGATAGAGTATAAATCCATTTTGGATGAGATTTTATTTTGATAAATCACACAGTGCTGTTATACAAGTAATATTAACTGATGACCACGTTTCGAGCACAAACTATTGTCACTCATAATCATATCAAGTCACTACTCACACAACGTTTTCCTTCATTTATATACATGAGTAAAAAGTGATGATTAAACATTTGAATAAAAACCAATATAATGTACACTCAGAAATAATAATACGAGTGCTATTAATCAATTCCAGTTAGATGGGAAATACGACGATTGTTTTTTTTTATAGTCATAATAAGCTACTTGTTAGAATGTTGTGATGTGTTTGAATTGAAACAGAATTTTATGATTATTTATTATCCTCTTCTGATTTGACCGGCGATAATAATATCTTCCATATTTCTGGTATTTGCATTGAGTCATTTCTGTTGCTTGTGTTGTATTGGGTGTAGACTCAATGAACTAGGCAGGATTCAGTAATCAACCTCCCTCTCTCTACCTACATAGATTACTTCTTAGAATTTTAACCCTCTCCCACCCTATTGTGTGGTTGTGTGTTAACGCATGCATTGCAATTGCTGAGCTTTTTTCTAAATTAATTATCTTCGCGAGTGGGGTCAACCATTCTCACCTTAGCTAAATTCATATCTTCCGACAAGCTGATTACCCTCAATCTACTAGTTTGACCAATGTAGTTTGCCTCACTTACAGTCATTGCAAGGTATTTTGTAAATTATATTATTATTTTTTATCGGGTCAACCAGCAGGACTTTTTGAATGCCACCCTAATTCCTGCTTTATTTAGAATCCTACGTAGGAAGGTTGTCAGATGTCCCCTCCTTATATGATATAACAGTCGATGGCTTTTATTCAAAATTAGACAAAATAATATAATTTACAAAATACCCTGCAATGACTGTAAGTGAGGCAAACTACATTGGTCAAACTAGTAGATTGAGGGTAATCAGCTTGTCGTAAGATATGAATTTAGCTAAGGTGAGAATGGTTGACCCCACTCGCGAAGATAATTAATTTAGAAAAAAGCTCAGCAATTGCAATGCATGCGTTAACACACAACCACACAATAGGGTGGGAGAGGGTTAAAATTCTAAGAAGTAATCTATGTAGGTAGAGAGAGGAAGAGGTTGATTACTGAATCCTGCCTAGTTCATTGAGTCTACACCCAATACAACACAAGCAACAGAAATGACTCAATGCAAATACCAGAAATATGGAAGATATTATTATCGCCGGTCAAATCAGAAGAGGATAATAAATAATCATAAAATTCTGTTTCAATTCAAACACATCACAACATTCTAACAAGTAGCTTATTATGACTATAAAAAAAAACAATCGTCGTATTTCCCATCTAACTGGAATTGATTAATAGCACTCGTATTATTATTTCTGAGTGTACATTACCTCGCTAAGCCAGAAAAAATGCTGGTAAAGAGGGAATGTTGGGCGTGAGGCTAGCAACCCCGTCCTGTAAAAATAAACACTGCTACAGAAACTTCAAGCCACTAGCTTGAGGCCCTATGTTCCACTGTGAACGTGAAGGAAAAAAAAAGTATTATATTGGTTTTTATTCAAATGTTTAATCATCACTTTTTACTCATGTATATAAATGAAGGAAAACGTTGTGTGAGTAGTGACTTGATATGATTATGAGTGACAATAGTTTGTGCTCGAAACGTGGTCATCAGTTAATATTACTTGTATAACAGCATTGTGTGATAATAAAACTTTATCCATAATGAATTGAATAACTTGCAATGAAGTTGTGTTCTCTAAAATGGGTGGCTGGTTGGTTGAATCGCGAAGCTTTCGTCGTCTCCTACTCCCTGCAACATTCCCCTTCAGTGCAGGTTTTAGCATAAGATGACTGATTTAAATTCGCCATGAACGATAGAATTGCATCTCCTGTTAACCATCTTCATGACTTGTAGTTGATTTACGTTTCTATTGATCATTTTTATTGACTTGGAATTCGAACTTTCTTGCCATGTAATAATTTACTTTTTATTAGTTGGTAAATTTAGTCTATAATGGATAAGATTTGGAGCTCAGGTGGATAATGTGCAACATGTATTGTTCTCCGAGCTGGTTGGTTTAGTGGCGGAGCTTTCGTCGGCCTTATGGACAAAATCTTCAGTGCACTTCTATCATTCATCTGAAATTTAAATCACTTCACATAATGCTAAAAATGACGCTGGAGATAATAATAATAATATTTGCTTTATTCCAAAAACAGTACTAATGATACAGCAAGGAATTTTCAGCATTCAGTACAATATTGCATCTAGTTTACTCAAAAACGACAAAAAAAATTAAAAATAAACATTACATAATAGTAATAAAATGGTTGATATAGCAGCTACATAGCAAAATACTGTAGGCCATACGGAGAAGAATATGCATAAAGTACAAAATTGTGGTAATAATAGTAATGCCAACTAAAATAAAATAGCAGAGTAATAATTAAACGATAGAAAGTGTGACACCATAAAATACAGAAAGATGAACGATGAAAGGGTCGATACACTGTGCTAATTACACATGTTGTCCAGAAGGATGATGAGAGCTCCGCAATTAAACCAACCAGCTTAGAGAACACTACAAATTGCAGATTTTTTCTATATTAATATGTTTCTTAATTGCTGGTTGATTCATTTGACTACCAGGCTTCTAGGGATTCCCTCATTGCATTTTTGGTGTTTCCTATGTTTTAAATTTCGACATTATCCCAGTCATCAAACTGGTGTCCATAATTATCTACATGCATTGATATGAAACAGGAATATATATCGTGTCTTTTTATAGCTAATTTATGTTCTTGGATTCTGATTGGAAGAGGACGCCCACTCTGGGCCGATGTAATGTCTGTTACAGTTCATACACGCAATTTATTTTGTAAATGGTATTAATTTTATTGAATTGAATTTCTGAATTTCCCGTCGATTGTTTGTACCGAAGTGCTCGGTCTCACGTTGACATGTCGGCTTCTTGTGCAGATGCTCGACGATGACTGGGAATTTAATTAGTATACAATTGGTGGATGGTGGCTAGCAGTGGAATCCAGTCAGGATGCGCATTTCGTCCTATTTGGGACTCGTCAACTGGATGTACCTGCATTTCTCAGTGAGTGATGATGTTCCCACTGAGGCTCGAACCCAGTGCCCATAGTTTCAAACGAGTCCCAAATAGGACGAAATGCGCATCCTGACTGGATTCCACTGCTAACCACCATCCACCAATGGTATTAATTTTATCTTCCTTCTTTTTCTGTTGGATCTTTCTATTTGCACAATATCGAATGAAGGGATTGTGCTAGCCAGTTGGTTGGCTTGTGTGCTATATCTATTTCAAGCGGTTTCAGTATTCTAGCTATTATTTCAGAGATACTTCTTTATGTATATGGTATGATGAATCTTCTTGTAGTCTTTCATGGTGGTTTCTTCTTGGTGTTGTGACTCGAGTTTAAACACATTTTGATAAAATTGTGAGGATATCCATTCTTTTTGAAAATAGTTAGGATGTATTTGCCCTCCATTCTCTTTAACACGATAGTGCTACAGTGTGTTTGAACTCCCTTTTAGACAATGTCTGCACACAGTTTCTTTTGTGAGTGGGTAATTGGATTATTGGTAGTATTAGTTGAGTATTTGGTCTGTCTGCTTGATTTTCATATCAATGCATGTAGATAATTATGGATACCAATTTGATGACTGGGATAATGTAGATATTTTGAACTGAAGAAACACCAAAAATGCAGTCAGGGGATTCCTAGAAGCCTGGTTGTTACTGATATGTATCCGTATATATATATATATATATATATATATATATATGGTGGTCTCTCTTTCTGTTGCTCTCTTAGTCTGTGACCATTTCACTTTGATGAACCTGTCTCCTTTAACAATGTATATTCCCTTATATTATATATAATATGTGTGTTTGCAATTGATAGTGTTCTCTGAGCTCCTTGGTTTAATTGCGGAGCTTTCATCGTCTTTCTGGACGACATCTTCAGCGCAGTATTTAGGACTCATGAAGAAATTTAAATCATTTCACTTTATCCTAAATACTGCGCTGAAGATGTCGTCCAGAAAGACGATGAAAGCTCCGCAATTAAACCAAGGAGCTCAGAGAACACTATCAATTGCAAATCATCCACCTGAGTTACAAATCTTTTCTATTATTTCAATATGTGTGTTTGTTGACAGTCTGATCTTGGTGACATATATCCATATAATATGTATGTTTGTTGACATGTCTGCTATACTTTGCTATGTATATATGGATCGATACTCCATTATAATTAGCCAATCATGTTAAGACTGTCTATTGATTGTTCACACACTTGTCTGGACATTAATATATATATATATATATTGCATTCACATTCTTGTGCGAGATTGATTCTCCTTGTATTTGGAAAATAGAAGTATCATCGCAAACCTAGTGGTCTTCTGATTTCTGTCTTTCTTGCGTCAGGACTATTAAATTCTCGACCAGTACACAACAATAATTTGGTGACGAGTACATAACAATTTGGCGACGGGGAAAACTACTATTAACCACTCAGCAGCAGCAGCAACATAACAGTTACTCACTTGTATCAGCCAACGATGAAAAACGACCTTGACGCGCTTTTCGAATAGCACTCTACATTTACTCAGTTACATGAAACTCTTATTTCTGTGGAATTTCTTGTCAAGAAGTTTTGGAACTTACTGTAATTATTTGCCTTTCGAGCACTGAATCTATGGGTATAATCTTGTTGACTGACAATCCCTATAACTATCTGCTTGCCATTTTGTCAGTGAGTCTATGACTTCGCTATCATTTTTGTTAACTGTATATGATTTTGATACTATTGCTAAGGTTATTTTTTATTTTTGTTGTCGCTTGTTGCCCTTTTTGCTGTGAATTATTTTCCCTATGCTGGTGTTGCCCTAATTGCTTTATTTCTTGTTTTCATGATTTTAAGGCGAGCAACCCACAGGTTCGCTTCTCTGTAAACTATATTTCAATGTAACAACCCCATTCTCATGCGTGAGGCTAGCAACCCCATCCTGTAAACAAAGTTGCTATAGAAACTTCAGAACGATGGATCTCTCTGTACCGAAAGAAAAAGTCTTTGTGGGGACATGAAACGTTCGAACTATGTACGAGGTCGGCAAAGCTGCCCAGATCGCAAGCGAAATGAATTGATGCAGAATTCAAGTACTGGGAATATGTGAAATCAGATGGAACGGGAATGGACTCACCAAACTGTCAACGAGTGAGTCAGTGATCTACTCCGGTCACCCAGAAGATAACCACACGTACACCGAAGGCGTGGCTATCATGATGTCACCAACGGCAACGAAGGCCTTGATGCAATAGGAGGCGATCTCGTCCAGGATACTGACCGCCAGATTCGACTCCAAAGGAACGAAAGTGTCAATTATACAATGTTATGCACCCACAAACAACGCAGACCTCGAAAAGAAAGAAGAATTCTACAGACAACTACAGGCAACAATGGACAATACTCCAGCTGGCGACATGAAAATACTAATGGGAGACATGAACGCCAAACTGGGACCAGGCAACACAGGAAGGGAACTCATCATAGGTAGAGAAGCTCTCGGAGAGATGAATGAAAATGGAGAAGTCTTCGCCGACTTCTGCGCTTTGAGTGAACTAGTGATTGGTAGCAGCGTATACAAGCACAAGAATATCCACAAGGTAACATGGATGTCACCAGATGGGCGAACCATAAACCGAATTGACCTCATCTCAATACTGCTCAAGTAAATGGAGGCGCAGCCTACTGAACACAAAAGTAAGAAGGGAGCAGACGTTGTCTCAGACCACTATCTCGCACAAGGAACAGTCGAAATCAAATTAAAAGCTTTCAAGGAAACAGGAGCTGCAGATAGACCACAAGCCAAGTTCAACACTCAAAAACTGAAGGACCAGGATATAAAGGACATCTTCACTGCAAACAAAGGGAAAAAGGTGGGGACACAAATCAACACTAGCGAAGAGGTCAGCGTTGAGAAGACTGGGACAACCTGAAAGCAATGTGGAGTCAAACCTGAATGGAAGTTCTAGGCAGAAAGAAGAGGCAGGACAAACAGTGGCTTACTACGGACACTTGGAGACTAACAGAAGAGAGAAGGATGGTGAAACAAGAGATTATCCAGTGCACCAACGAGCAGCAAAAACAAGATTTGAATGCAAATTACAATACGCTGAACAAAAGAGTAAAGGAGAGTGTCAAGGAAGACAAAAGAAAATATTATGAAGCCATGGAAAGTGAAGCAGAACAAGATGCAATGCAGGCTATGGAGACCTCGCATCAGTCTACCGAACAGCTAGGTTTCTACCGGGGAGAAGATCAACACAGATTAGACCAGTGAAGGATGACAGTGGAAAGTCGATCACCAAAGAGGTGGAGCAAAGAAAACACTGGGCTGAACACTTCAAAAGACTTCTAAATCGTCCGCCACCTACAACGCACCCAACAATACCAACAAAGGAAATAGAACTACCAGTGAACACTGACCCCCCGATGAAATCAGAAGTCCTGAATGCAATCAAGATGCTAAAAGCTGGAAAGCACCAGGACCAGATGGAATCCCAACAGAAGCTTTGAAAATAGACCCAGAGACAACAGCGGACTTGATGACGCCACTGCTTGAGAAGGTGTGGAAAGAGGGCAAAGTACCCGAGGATTGGAAGAACGGATACTTATTCAAACTACCAAAGAAAGGAGACTTAAGTCAATGCAAGAACTGGTGCTGAATTATGCTCCTGTCCATCCCAAGTAAAATATTAAGCCGCATCATCCTGGAGAGAATTGAACACGCCGCCCTGGACAAAAAACTTCAATTGGAACAGGCTGGATTCAGCAGAAACAAGTTATGCATCGGTCAAATCTCAACACTACGGATCATGAGTGAACAGAGCTTAGAATGGCAGTCCATTCTCTATCTCAACTGCATCGACTTTGAAAATGCCTTCAGCAGATAGAGTCGATCGAGAGGTGATTTGGAAACTACTTCGTTACTACGGGGTGACACCGACAATTATACATCTCATCCAACAGTTGTATGACAGTGCTGCATTCCAAGTAATCCACAACGGGAAACTCAAGGAATCCTTCGAAGGAAAGACGGGAGTAAGACAAGTTGGCTGTCTACTATCTCTTATGATCTTCCTGATTGCAGTAGATTGGATAATGAGACAGACAGCAGGCAGCGGGCGTCGAGAAAACAGACATAAACAGACATGGACCCACACAAAAAACTTATAGGATCTGGACTTTGCCGATGATATATGTCTGATTTCCTACAAACACTGGAAGATATGTAAGTGAAAAGCAACAAGTTGGCAGAAGAAGCATCAAAAATAGGATTTCAGGTGAACATAGAGAAAACAGAGATGATGAAGATTCCTTGTCTACTGCAATAGCCACAGAAACAACAATAGATAACAATCAGCCAGCATAAATTGGAGGAACCTGAAAGAAACAACCTCCTTTACCTACCTACCCAACTGGGAAGCCTCGTTTCAACTACAGGTGAATGGATATCAAAGCGAGGCTCAGGAAAGCAAGGCAAGCAAGCTTTCATTACTCTCAAGTCTGTGTGGATATCAACAGCATTCACCATGAAAAATAAGGTGTGGATATTCAACTCTAATGTGAAGTTAGTGCTACTATAAGGATAAAAGACTTGACACGAGCGGCGTCACGAAGTTCACTTCGAACAAATTACAGACTTTCATCAACAGCTGTCTTCGCTCAATACTACTCAAGGTCAGATGGTCAGTCAGAAAAGGTCGAAAACATGGAGGGATCTCTGACAACTCTGTTAAAACAAACCATCAAGTGAGTGACATCACACACCAGGCCATCACTCGAGTGCAACCTGAATGAGAAGTGGAGAGTTGGTCGTCAGTGCAAGGGTGACTTGGAGGAGCTCATGTGAAGAGGCGATGAAAGCATATGGGCAGACATGAATCCAGGTGAAAACGTTGGCAAAGAACCAAACCCAATTGCGACGTATGACTGAAGCCCTATGTTCCTCTAGGAAACAATAATAATGATGATTTTCAGTTTCACCTTGTTATATTTCGCTATACCGGTCTCAACCACCTTAACTTATATCAAATTATGATAAAAAATGTAAAGAGGATTTAATCATGAGCTGACATCAGTTAGAGAAGCACTGGAAAACCAGGGAGTACTGGACAGCTGCTGTTTCATCCTAGTTTGGGACTCCTCAGCAGTACTCACCCACCGGGATTCGAACCCAGAACCTTCTGGTTACAAGGCGAGCTCGTATACCACTAAGCCACTGGGACCTGGTCCAATGGTCCTTGAATTCTAACTTCTGCCAATTCACGACATAGCGCGACCACTTCGCAATGTCTTTTTCGATGAGTTACTGCCTCATCTTCGAGCTGCTGTACCCTACTGGTCACGGCTTCCCACTAGAACCCCAGGTTAACTGCCTGAATAGGGACAGTCACTAGTGAGCATCAGATTGATTTTCAAGTATTGGTTTTGTAGGGATTTTGTTTGAATGCATGGAGGATTTCATCATGAGCTGACATTAGTTAGCGCTAAGTCGTGAATTGACACAAGTTAGAATTCAAGGACCATTGGATCGGGTCCCAGTGGCTTAGTGGTATACGAGCTCGCCTTGTAACCAGAAGGTTCTGGGTTCGAATCCCGGCGGGTGCGTACTGCTGAAGAGTCCCAAACTAGGACGAAATAGCTGTGCAGTACTCCCAGGTTTTCCAGTGCTTCTCTAACTGATGTCAGCTCATGATTAAATCCTCCATACAATCAAACAAAATCCCTACAAAACCAATACTTGAAAAAATGTATACTCAAAATTCATCAAAATCCAACAAAAAAAAAGTTTAAGTCTAAATCCACAATGTTTTTATTACCTTGACAGCTGTTGTTGCTGTTGCGGTTAGTTCTCCGCCTTGGGGATGATTTTTCTCAGCCTGATTTTTAATTCCTTCCTGCTCTAATTTTTTCTTAAATTCCATCAAAATTTCATTGTCATATGTATATTTTCTTAGAAATAAGTCAAAAGAAGAACATAAAATTTAGAAAAAGAGTATTGACTCAGGAAGAATAATGTGTCGTAAAGAAATTTCAGGAAGTAACTCAATATATTTATTATTACAAATTTCTATTTGTATTTCCCAATGATTGGACATGACAAAACGGTATTGTCGTTTCTACTGACGTTTCGCTATCTAATGCCACTGCTAATAGCTTTGTCAAAGTATTATTAAGCCAAAATTTACAAAATCTCAGTTTATAATATAACAATTTAATTATTGAATTGAATTTTTTGACTTTCCCGTCGATTGATTGTACCGAAGAGCTCGGTCTCAGGTTGACATGTCTGTTGACTTCTTGCGCAGATGCCTCGACGATGTCTGGGAATTTAATTAGTATACAATTGGTGGATGGTGACTAGCAGTGGAATCCAGTCAGGATGCGCATTTCTTCCTATTTGCGACTCGTCAACTGGATGTACGTGCATTTCTCAGTGAGTGATGATGTCCCCACCGACATGTCAACCTCAGACCGAGCACTTCGGTCCAATCAATCGACAGGAAAGTCAAAAAATTCAATTCAATAATTAATATATGACCCGTTGCACAAGAGGTGGCTCTCGTGGCCCAAGTGGTCTAGTGGACAACGCTTTGGTGTTTGAAACTATGGGCACTGAGTTCGAGCCTCGGTGGGAACATCATCACTCACTGAGAAATGCAGGTACATCCAGCTGGCTGACGAGTCCCAAATAGGATGAAATGGGCATCCTGACTGGATTCCACCGCTAGCCACCATCCACCAATTGTATAACAATTTAATCATCATTCATCAATATGGGGTAATGCTTGCGTTGTTGCCAAGTTGGCCAATTGGTAAAGACAACAAAATCAGGTGTACATTGTTGGATTTGATAAGTGAACGATGAAACTGCTTATCACGTTGGTCAAACTCTGTTTTAATCCATCATTCCTATTCACGCAGTTTGGATTCCATTTGATGATATAAAGTGCTTCTGATTATGTGAGACGTTCTTTGTGATTTCTGAAACACTTTTTCTGGATTATTTCAATATTGTCAAAATCAATTTCGTGACCGATCTATATAGCGTGTAGGCCTATGGCTAGTCGATGATTTTTGGATCTTTTCTAGTTCAACTGGATTTCTCCCGGTGGATGAACATAAGAGGCTTCATGGTGTTCATTTATCCTAATTTTGATTCCTCGTAATGTTTGTGGGATGTATATCGTATTACATTCCAAGCAAGCATTTTATTTTGTAGGCACAATTCGATATAGAATCCCTAGGGATTTGTCTTCTCATGGACTGGAATAATTCCACTCTGTAGACAATGTACGTTGAAGATATGAGGATAATAAACGTTACATTCACGCTTCGATAAAGTAATCTGGTTTAAACAATTGGTGGATGGTGGCTAGCAGTGGAATCCAGGATGCGCATTTCGTCCTATTTGGGACTCGTCAGCTGGATGTACGTGTATTTCTCAGTGAGTGAAGATATTCCAAGTGGTCTAGTGGATAACACTTTGGCGTTTAAAACTATGGGCACTGAGTTCAAGCCTCAGTGGGAACATCATCATTCACTGAGAAATGCAGGTACATCCAGCTGGCTGACGAGTCCCAAATAGGACGAAGTGCGCATCCTGACTGGATTCCACTGCTAACCACCATCCACCAATTGTATACTAACTAAATGCCCAGACATCGTCGAGGCATCTGCACAAGAAGCCGACATGTCAACCTGAGACCGAGCACTTCGGTACAATCAATCGACGGGAAAATCAAAAAGGCAATTCAATAATCTGGTTTATAATTAAGTTATAAATGTCCAAACCAAGTTCACTTTGACCAGTTTGAAAAAACTTGGGGCAATTATTCTACCTACTTTTCCAAAATAATTTTTTTTTTTTTCTATAATTTTTTTTTTTTTTTTCCTTTCTAATTTTTTTGCAACTTTTATTTTTACTTGTAAAGCCAATCCTGAGTATTTGTATCGATTATGTCATCCCAGTTGTATTAGTCAATAACAGACTACTATACATTTTTCGTTTTGTTCATTCAATTTATGTGTACCCTTCGCTTAATACGTTTGTAACGACAGTAGACAAGGGCCAGTCAACAGATCCTTTATTCACGAAATCAATAGATATTTTTAGATTTTCATGTACATTATTATAGATTATTGTTAGCAGGAAAACACAGTCAGTCTTCTGATTGGTTGTTTCTCACTGAAAGTTGATCTTCCATCTCCTTGTAACTGTTTCTTGAAAGTCAGATCATAAACATGCTAACTGTATCCACCTACGCAAAGCCTTTGTTCTCATTTTTCCCACGACCGATACTGAGGACTTAAACATTGACGTAAATTACTATCTATCAATTTGGCTAGCAGCCAGCTCCCTCCACAAGTCTTCTGTGATTAGTTCTTGAGTTCCTCAAGGTTACGCTTTGTTCTTGTTTTTTTCTTATGACCCCAATTCGGGACGTAAGCAGTGACTTAAATTGCTATCTACTAGTTTCGGCTAGCAGACACCTCTCACCACACATTATTATTATTGCTCCCTTGGGTTTCTAGTGGAACATAGGGCTTCAACTGCACGTCTCCATTTGCTTCTGTCTTCTACTGTACTTTGTACCTGCATCCATGTTAGTCCATACTGTTTCAACTCCTCTTCACACGATCTCCTCTATGTCATCCTTGCACTGACGTCCCACTCGCCGCCCCCCTTTCGGGCTCCACTCGAGGGCTTGACACGCGATGTCACCCAGCGGCCTCCTCAGTGAGTCTGCAATCCATCTCCACTTTCTCCTGCATATTTGTTGGCTGGCGATTGGTTCTTGTTTTGTTTGTTCCCATAGTTTCTTGTTGGTGATTCTCTCTGGCCCGGCCATCTGGTCTTCCGTATAGATCCAGTAATCCAGTTGTTAATAAAGGTCTGCAACATGCTGTTGGTTGGAAATATTCTTTGTGAGCCGCCCACCAAGTTTCTGTCTGATCCGCATAGAAGAACTGACTGACTTGACGTTTGTATTGAAAATCCGACCGAATTTTGTTGTTGATGCTGGCTGAGTGACGAAGATTTCCAGATTGATTTCAGGTTGATGAATGTGTTTCTCGCTCGCCTTCCCGATTCTCGCTCGATTTGACATCCTCGTCCGTTCCGACTTCCTGTAGTTGAGACAATGCTCCCTAGATAAGTGAATGAAGTAACCTCTTTCAAATCCCTCCCGTTGATGGTGATTGGCGCTGGATGTTGCTGTTGTTGTTGTTGGTTGGTTATTTTCATAACCTCTGTCTTGTCTATGTTCACATGGAGTCCTGTCTTCGCTGGCTGCTTCTTCGACCAGTTTGTCGGTTTTCGCTTGTAAGTCTTCGATTTTGTGTGACATCAAACATAAATCATCCACGCGAAATCCAGGTCTTCTAGGTTCTTCACGTCGGTCCAGGATATCCCTGTCTTCTCGTTTCCCACTGTCTGACGCATAATCCAGTCCACCACAATTAGGAATATCATTGGTGATAATAAGCACCCTTGTCTGACTCCTGTGTTTACTCCAAACGCCTCGCTGAGTTTTCCGTTGTGGATCACTTGACATGTGCCGTTGTCGTACAGCTGTTGAATAAGGTTGATGAATATTTGGGGTACGCCATAGTACTCGAGTAATTTCCAAATTACTTCGCGGTCAACGCTGTCGAAGGCCTTCTCAAAGTCTATAAAGTTGAGGTAGAGGTTTGATTGCCATTCCATGCTTTGTTCTGTGATGATGATGCGTAGAGTTGCAATTTGGTCAGTACATGATTTGCCTTTCCTGAATCCAGCTTGTTCTGGTCGGAGTTCTGTCTCCAGTGCGTCCTTTAATCTCTCCAGGATGATGCGACTCAGGATTTTACTTGGCGTCGACAGGAGCATGATTCCTCGCCAGTTCTTGCAGAGTGAGGCCTAAGTCGCCCTTCTTTGGTAGTTTCACGAGGTAACCTTTCCTCCAGTCAGTAGGCACCTTTCCCTCCTTCCAGACCTTTTGCAATAATGGAGTCAGCATGTCTGCTGTAGTCTCTGGGTCCGCTTTCAGTGCTTCAGGGGGTATTCCATCTGGTCCGGCTGCTTTTCCAGCTTTCAGAAGCTTGATTGCATTCAAGACTTCAGCTCTCGTTGGAGGATTGGTGTCAACTTGCAGTTGTGTGCGCGCTGTTGTTGGTATTTCTGGACGGGTTGCAGGTGATGGTCGGTTCAAGAGTCCTTTGAAGTGATCCGCCCATTGTTTAATCTGTTTTTCTTCCTTGGTAATTGGGTTCCCTTGGCTGTCTTTTATAGGTTTCGCTTGTGTTGATCTCTTCCCGGATAGAGATTTGGTTATCTGATATAGTGTCCTCAGGTCCCTTTTGCCTGCTGCCTTCTCAGCTTCAGTGGCCAGGTTGTCGTAGAATCGTCTTTTGTCCTTCCTAGCACTCTTCTTCACTTCTTTGTCCAGTGCTGTGTAAGTTGAGCTCAGCGTCTCCTTCTCCTGTCCGTCCTTGCATTGAATCATTTTCTCTTTCACCATTCTCCTCTCTTCTATTAATTTCCAAGTGTCCGTTGAGAGCCATTCCTTGTCTTGTCTCTTCTTTCTTCCTAGAACCGTTGAACACGTTTCGTTGAGAATCGCCTTCAGAGACTTCCAATGTTCTTCCACGCATGATTCTTCAGTGATGTCGCGTAGTGTTTCCTGCTTTGCTCTGACAGTTGCAGTGAAAGTGTCTTTTGTGGTTGTGTCCTTCAGTAATTGAGTGTTGAACTTGCATTGTGGCCTATCCCCAGCTATCCTCGAGGCTTTTAGTTTCACCTTGAAAGTCCCTTCTACTAGATAGTGGTCTGAACCCACATCTGCTCCTCTCCTTGACCTTGTGTCCAGTAGGCTCCGTCTCCACTTTCTTGAAATTGAGATGAAGTCTATTTGGTTTTGGTGTTTCCATCTGGTGAAATCCATGTCGTCTTGTGTATATCCTTGTGTTTGAACACACTACCACCAATCACCAAATCATTGAAGGCGCAGAAGTCTGAGAAGAGTTCACCATTGTCGTTCATTTCACCGAGGGCCTCACGACCCATGGTGAGTTCTCTTCCTGTGTTGTCTCCTCCCAGCTTCGCATTCATGTCGCCCATCAGGATTTTGATATCGCCATTTGGGACGTTGTCCATTATTGCTTGTAGTTGTCTGTAGAACGCCTCCTTCTTCTCTTGTTCTGAGACGTTTGTAGGCGCATAGCATTGAATGACTGTAACTTTCCTTCCTTTTGAGTTGAACCTGGCTGTCATTATCCTGGAGGAGATTGGTTCCCACTGCATGAGAGCTTTGGTTGCTGTTGGTGACATCATGATGGCCACTCCCTCGGTGTGCTCATGGTTGTCCTCTGGGTGGCCGGAATAGATTACTGTCTCTCCAGTAGGTAGTTGGCACCTTCCAGTTCCGTTCCATCTGCTTTCGCAGATTCCCAACACTTCTATTCTGTACCTTCTCATTTCAGCGGCTATCTGGGCAGCCTTTCCAGTTTCGTACATTGTACGAACATTCCAGGTACCCATCCTTACTTTTGCTTTCATCGAAAGAAGGCACATCGGCTGACTGGCTTCCCGAAGGCTTTCACCAGCCTGCGTCATTTCACTTCCCCGATTCCAGCGAAAAGTAAGGCTATTGCTTATGTTTTTAGAATTTTTAATATATTTATTCGTTGAAGTTTCTGTAGCGATTTGGTTGTTTTACGGGGGTGGAGTTGCTAGCACCACGTCCCAACCCTCCCATTTTACCCGGGCTTGGGACCGGCTAGAAAACTAGGAAGGTAGTAGCCTAGTAAGCTGGTAATCTGGCGAGGTTATCACCACACACTGACTGTTACTATTATTGAGTTGTCCCCGGGAATATTTCACTTCTCCAACTTGTCAATCCAAAACTAATCTTTTCTTTCTTTGCAGTGTTAAATTCTATGTTATCAAATTTCAAACCTTGTTATGTAACTTCTTAATTCGACTACATTCCTAAAATTTTACACCCCTTTCTAATACCTATACATCATATGAACTTTTCTATATGACTACTCTATATTTCAAGTATTGAATTTTGTAAGGATTTCGCCTGATTGCTTGGAAAATTTCATCACGAGGTGATGTCAGTTAAAGAAGCATTGGAAAACCAATTGGGAATACTGGAAAGTTGTTACATCAGGCTAGTTTGCGACTTTTCAGTAGTACGCACACACCGCCACGGGCCAAATACGGGACCTGCTAGTTACAAGGCCGACGAACTCGTAGACCGTGAAGCCACTGGGACCCGATCTAATGATTAGTCCATGAATTCCAACTGCTGCCATTCCATCATGGCGTAGCACGACCACTCTGCAATGTCTCTGATGAGTTACTGCCTCACCTTCAACCTTCTGTACCCTACTGGCCGCATCTTCCGACTAGAACACCAGGTTAACTGCCTGTATAGAGCCAGTCGCTAATGTGCATCAGAATAATTTTCAAGTATTGGCTTTTACAGGGATTAAGTTCGATTGGTTGCAGGATTTCTATGTTTGTTTTGCTACTTGATATTTAAATATGATTATTATCACAAACATTTTAACTGTATTCCATACTTTTATTATTACTTTACGTATTCACAGCTTTGCTAAAATTTCCTCACGTGATGTAATTTCTCTTTAAAAAAAATCATCTACACACGCATATACGATTGTACAACTTGAAAATAAGTTCGTTAAAGAAATTCTCTTTGCAAAATCACTTATTTTAATTAAATATACTTTTATGTATATATATATATTATTTTGGCTGATGTTGTCTGGCAGTGGAATCCATTATGCGTATTTTGTCCTATCTGCAACTTTACGACTGAATGTACCATCATTCTCAGTAACTGATGGATAACTTTCTACGTGATGACTTTAAAATCATCAACCTAGATTCTACTGCCTTCTAGTCACCACTAACTAAAATGACTTCTACATCAATTCTTAAATATCACCAGAATATGCCTATCAGGAGGTGGTGCATCAGAAGATATAGAGAATTTCTGAGTAGAAATCCAAATTACAATGAAATCACATAAAAGCTATGCACCTTAAATTTAAAAAAAAGCCTGAGATAGATTTAATTTGAAAACACAAAATTCCTCACTTTGATATATATTTTGTTTTGATATTTCATATATGCAAGATCATTAGCTAAAGTTATGGTCATAATAGGCTGAAAGCTATCTGCAAGACAAAATTGCAAACAACAATTTACCCCTCCCGAAACGGGGGCATGAGAAAAATTTAAAAAAAAATCCCAATAACAAAGCTTAACCTTGAGAGGCTCAACAACCAATTATAACAGAATTAACGTGTGCAAATACGATTGGCAGATATATGGCTTAAGTTTCTGAGAAACGGTCATAAAGAGATGACAGAATAAACTTCAGCCAGAAAACAATCATTTAGAAGACGTTTTTCTCTGCTAAAATAACGAATAATAATGTACATAGAAATCCATAAATACTTCTTGATTTTCTCAAAAAAAACGATTTGTTGCCTGGATTTTACTAATAATAAAGAATATATATATATTCGTCTTCCACTTACTTTTCAGGATATTCTTCTATATCAAGTTCTTCCAAGTGTAGCCGTATACCAATTTCTTCGACAGGTAAATCACAATTCACTTTTTCTAACTGTCCATCGATTCTTTTCAATTCCTCGAGTATCATCAATTTTTTATCACGTAAATTTAATAAAGAGATATTGAATTCATGACGTAATTCAAATGTCTACAGCAGAAAGGAAACAACATATAAGTAATTGGTTTCTGTGTTCATCATGTATACTTACACAGGCTAAATAAAGGTTCATATTCGTCTATAATGATAATAATGACGATAGGTGAATTAGTGTTGTCGATAGAGTAGGCGAAATTGTCAGAGTATTAATTCGTGGAAAATACCCATATGTTTGTCTGTTTTCAACATAGAAGTTTGCACTGATGTGCAGCAGTTCAATTCGCCACACTCCCTCTATGTACCACACAAAGCAAGAGAAAAAATGCATAATAGTGATAGTAAACATGGATATGAGGCAAAAAGAATAGTAATATCGAAAAGCAATATAGATTCATTGGGTATTATATGTCACAAGGAGTGGATGCATCTGCGCCAGCCAGCCATTGAGAACGGTCACTTTGAGCCATGTCACCAATTGTTTCCAACTACTGGTTTTTACCGTTCCGACGACCCCAATCAGGAAGTCTACACCTTCCTACGTGGCTTAGACTAACTGTTGTAGATTTCATTGACTGGTGAGGCCATGTTTTGGTTTGACCGCCGCTAGCTCTTTTCCAGCCTGACCCTATATCAGCTAACATTCCCCGTTGAGGAAGGCAATGGCTGGACTAGGCATGCGTAACACATGTTCTGACCATCTCAGTCGATGTAACTTCACAGCCTCGTCGATTGATTTCCCCTCCTTACCTAGCACGCACTCGACGCCTAACCTCAATATTGTTCATTTTATTATACCACTTCACACGGGAGATAGAACGCAAGCACCTATGATCAAAGACAGCTAACCAGGCTTTTCATGTCTTCCACTTTCAATGGCCACGTCTCACTCACAGCCATAAAGGAGGACGGAGCGGACTGATGAGCAGTACACACTCCCTTTGTTCGATAGTCGGATATCACGTCTCCGCCAGAGACGGCGTTAACTGGCAAATGCAAAACGAGCCCTCTGAATCCGTGCAGAGATTTCGTCAGCGATCAACCCGTTGGTGCAGGCTGACGCAAATTCCCAAATAAGTGAAGCAGTCAACGTGCTCTACCACTTCACTTCCTATTTCTAATCAATGAGTCGGTGTAATCCAGTCCTATAACATCATCTTGCATTTGGCGGGAGCGAATCACATGCCAAACATTCGTAGAGGGACAATAGAAAGAAAAGAACACGAAGTTTAGAAAAGACAACTGCCTTTTCGGTGATTTTATTTTCAAAAAAAGCTGTACAATCGAATTTATATAGCATTAGTTTACATGGATACAATTATTATATATTTAACTCCACATGGTTACGAAGGAGATAATAATTTTCAACTTGAAAAGAAAATTTGAAGGTACGAATATAGATTACATGGGGCTTAGAGATAATTTTACATAGGACTAGAAAAGAGTTACAACGTATGCAAAATTAATATTTGATAACTGTAGAATTAATTTTAAAGGCGAATAAAAGGTGATAATTATTTTCAACTTGAAATGAATTACAAGAGGCTTAGAGACGCAGGGATAGAACGAATTACAGGTGTGAACAAAATGAGCATGGAAACAAATTGAAATCAAAATTTTCAACTTGAAATGTTAGTTAGGAGCTATGAATATAGATTACAAGAGGCATAGGAGCAAAAAATTGCACAGGATTAGGATATAAGTGTAAAGTGGTTATTCTAAACGGGTTACAAGTGTGATCGGGAGGAGCATGGAAACAAACTTAAAATAACTGTTCTTAAAACTTAAAAAATGGGATGAATTGAATGAAGACAAAGGGTGAAAAATCACACACACACACACACAGAACAAAACCAAAAAAACCGAAGGATAAGAGACCATACCGAACTAGGTCCATGGTAGTTGTAAAGGTTGGACTAGTTTCTTTTGTTCACACATAGCTCCGGCTTTCCGGTGCATACTACGAGAGCTTCTGCAGTACAAAGAAGTCGGAAACATACTGACTGCCTTTGGTAGATTTTTGTTTCCTTTGTAAATGACTCTGAATAATGAGTCAGTTGAGATGCTGGGACAGGTATTGACGAGGTGTTCAGTTATTGGGCTTCTGATTGAACCAGTGCCTCTTCTTTGCAGCCATGCTGTGTGATATCCTCTAACGCGTTTTTATAAGACCCACATGGAACGGCCTATGTACCTAGCTCCGCAAGAGCAGGTGAACTGATAAATGCACATTGAAGTGGTCATATGCGGAAGAAAGTCTGTCCTTCACATTGCTTCAAAGCCTTAGGCAGCTAGAGAACATCATTCTTAGAGTTGCTGCCGGAAAAGTCTTCTTCAGGGCATTGGAGATTCTCCTTTTAGGGATATCTGCTGCTAGGTCTCCCCTGAATTGCAGATTCAAGTAAAGTGTTTTCTTTGGCACTGAAGTTTATTCTTCTCCTTTTTTTGGCCTTGGTTTGATGCTCTTCTCCTTGAAACACGGTGGGTATCCATTTTGAACCAGAATGCTTTTGACAAATAGGAGTTCTTCTTCTAAACAGTCATCGCTACAAATTCCTCTGGTACGGTGGGTTAGCAAGATGATGAGTGCTCTTTTACGGGTGATAGGTGTCCAACTGTAGAAGTTTGTCAGTTGTCCATTCCATGTTAGTTTTCTATGGATAGATCATTTTAGAGTTCTGTCATCTCTTCTTGTCAATTCGACGTTCAGGAATAGAATCTTTGATTCATTTTCAACTTCCATTTTGAATTTAATCGAAAGATGGCAGTTATTTAAACTCCTGTAAGGTACAATTTAAATCGGAATCACTTCTTATACTGCCTTCTTATAGGCTGAGACAATCTGTTAGAAAGAGGGTATGACTTCCAGTGATAGTCATAGAGGGAGGAGTTAGAAAGAAGAGAATACAAAGTTCAGAAAAGACAACTGTCTTTTCGGCGATTTCATTTTCAAAAGCAGCTGTACAATCACATTAAAATACATAACTTTCTATAGATACAGTTTTCGTTTACTTGATTCTACATAATTATGAGTGCGAATGAAAAGGTGACAATTATTTTAGCGATTTCATTCTCAAAAGCTGTACAATCGCATTTATATAGATTATTTTAACATGGATAGAATTATTATTTGTTTAATTTCACATAGTAACGAAGGTGATAATAATTTTCAACTTGATATGATAGTTTGAAGGTACGAATATAGATTACAAGAGGCTTAGAGACAAGATTTCATAGGATTAGAAAATAGTTACAACGTATGCAAAAAATTAATATTTGATAACTGGAGAAATAATTTTAAAGGCGAATCGAAGGTGATAATTATTTTCGACTTGATATGAATTACAAGAGGTTTAGAAACGCAGGGATAGGACGAACTACAGGTGTGAACAAAATGAGCTTGGAAACAAATTGAAATCAAAATTTTCAACTTGAAATGTTAGTTAGGAGGTATGAATATAGATTACAAGAGGCATAGAAACAAAAATTACACAGGATTAGAATATGATTGTAGAATGGTTATTCTAAACGGATTACAAGTGTGATCAGGAAGAGCATGGGAACAAAATTAAAATAGATGTTTTTTTAACTGAAAAAATAATTTGAGCCTGAAATGAAAGTTAGGACGTGTGAATATAGATTACAAAAGCCTTAGAAACACAAAAATTGCACAATATTAAGATATAATTGTAAAATAGTTATTTTAAATGAATTATAAATGTGAACAGGGAAAGCATGGAAACAAACTTAAAATAACTGTTTTTATAGCTGAAAAAAAATTAGGTGGATTAAACGAAGATTGAGGGACAAAGAATCAGACACACAGCGAACGAAAAATGCTCTAAAGGGAAAAAACAAGAACGAAAACAGACGAGGAAGAGAAAAAAAGACGGAAACAAAGGGAACATACCAAGCTAGGTCCATGGTAGTTGTAGAGGTTGGACTAACTTCTTTTGAACACACAGCTCCGGCTTCTCGATGCATATTGCGAGGGCTTCTGCAGTACAGAGAAGTCGGAAACACACTGACTGCTTTTGGTAGGTTTCTGTTGACTTTGTAAATCACTTTGAAAGAATCGGTTGAGATTTTGTGGGAGGTGTTGACCAGATGTTCAATAATGGCACTTCTGATTGAACCGGTGCCTCCTCTTTGCAGCCACGCTGGGTAGTGTTCTCTAACACGTTTTGAGAGGACGTGCATACAACTTGCTCGTGCGGAGCTAGGTACATAGGTCGTTGTATGCGCGTCCTCTCAAAACGTGTTAGAGAACACTACCCAGCGTGGCTGCAAAGAGGAGGCACCGGTTCAATCAGAAGTGCCATTATTGAACATCTGGTCAACACCTCCCACAAAATCTCAACCGATTCTTTCAAAGTGATTTACAAAGTCAACAGAAACCTACCAAAAGCAGTCAGTGTGTTTCCGACTTCTCTGTACTGCAGAATCCCTCGCAATATGCGCATCGAAAAACCAGAGCTGTGTGTTCAGAAGAAATCAGTCCAACCCTTACAACTGCCATAGATCTAGTTCACTGTGTTCCCATAGCCTCCGTTTTTTTAGTTTTTTTCTGTGTGTGTGTGTGTGTGTGTGTGTGGTTTTTCACTCTTTGTCTTCAATCAATTCATCCCATATTTTCAATTATCAGAACAGTTATTTCAAGCTTGTTTCCATGCTCCTCCTGATCACATTTATAATCCGTTTAGAATAACCATTTTACAATTATATCCCAATTCTGTGCAAATTTTGTTTCTAAGGCTCTTGTAATCTATATCCACACCTTCTAACTTTCATTTCAAGTTGAAGATAATTCTCTCAGATTTTTTTCCATGCTCATTATTCTACACACTTATATTTTGTTCAAATCCTGCGTAACTTTTATTTCTAAGCCTCTTGTAAACCATAGCTAGTTGAAAATAATTGTCATCTTTTAATTCACCCTCGTAATCATGTGGAATCAAGTAAATAAAAATTTTATCTATGTAAAATTATGTATTTAAATGAGACTGGACAGCTAGCTGCTTTTGAAAATGAAATCACCGAAAAGACAGTCTGTAGGAGTTGCTTTTAAGATGTACTATGAATGTACACTTCATATTCAACAACCTTTACTACAGTCAAATCAACCGTATTGCCATGGGTTCTCCACTGGGGCAAATTTTGGTACTTGTGAAGAAGAACATTATGGTAGGCTACATTTCCTTGACGTCCAATTGAGCAGAAGAGAGGATGGTTTTTTTTTATTTTATTTTTGATTACAGCTTGATTCCACGTATTTTTGGTACAAGTGTGGAATTTTCAGCGTGGATACCGGTAGCCCAAAATTCGCAGGCCGACCATAGATTTCAGGAGTGCATCGGCGTGGGGTCGAACCCCGGACCATGTGCACTGTCGGCGAGAATCCTAACCACTGTGCTACCGACGCACTAAAGAGAGATGTCTATAGAAAACCTACATCTGTAGGACAATATACACATTTCCTCAATTTTGTACCAATCCGATACAAAATCAGTTTGGTCAGATGCCGCCTCACGAATAGAGTAAAACGTATCCGTGCAGATGACTCCGTAGAAAATGAGCTAGGATACATCCAAAATACGTTGGTTCAAATGGGTTATCCTAGTAGATTTGTAAGGAGAGACACATGAATAACAGCTACAATAAAGAAAAACTGACAACAGTTAAAAAAAACAACTGTTCATGAAACTGCAATTTAATGGAGACGTGGCTAGTGAAACCTTACATCAGAGATTATCGAGAGCGATAAAACGGACTTATACTGCCGCCACCCTCTGTTTGTCATTTTGCAGCTGCCGACCATTTATGATTGCTCAAGTGAAAGACAAGCTAACTGTGCCACTCCTATGTGTACATCTATAAATTTAGTTGCTCTCATGGAAATAACTGGCTATATAGGGCGAACAACTAGACAGCTTAACAAACGCATTAATGAGCATCTTCCTTCATGGTTCAGCAAAGGTCAAATAAAATCCATACAAAGTTCTATTTCGCCTCATTGGAATGATAGCGGTCACCATGGGAATTCGAGAGAACAATCCTAGTCTTTGCATAAAAAAGAAGTTTGTTCTACCTTTGTCTCTCCCTTGACCTAGGTGAATTCTATTCACCTTTTAAGATTTGACCTAATTTATTTATTTATTGAATTGTCTACATATACACATATATACATATACTACCTTTGTTATTCTTATCGCCACCTGCATAAACCTTATTATCAATATTTTGTTATCATTAATGTTAGTTTCGATTAATTTCCCTGAAGAAGTTCGGACCAGATTGCCGAACGAAACGTTAGAATTACTCATTTCAATATCGCTCAGATTTTACGAATATAATTTTTTACAAATGTCTACTTCTCACTCGGCGACTAAATATTTTAAAACTATTCTGTCAAATCTTGACGACAGTTCATTTGAATTATTTTGCAATCGAATTAAATTAGCAAAGAAACTATGTAATTGGCACAATCATCGTGTTTCCACTCTCCGTCGTCTGCAACAGAATGCATATATCCTAAATCCGTAGCTGTCGAGTCACCTGACAACTCTCCAGTAGGTCGAATAAAGCAGCTCAATAATCTTCAGAAAGAAGACAAAGCAATAAGTTCGACAGGGTGTATTTCAACTAAACTCTAATCCTAAACACCATAATTTCGAAAATACGTCTGATCATAAAATTCTAGATACTAACAGTTTGAACCGACATGAAGGTGTGATCTTGTTAGCTGATGCATAGGAAATCCTGATTAATAAATAAGAATGGATATGTATCACTAATTAATAATTAATAATACTTGATCAAGATTCCCGATTGCCTATATTTTCTTATGGAGACGTTAAGAAATTGTTTCACAACTGTTTACCCCCCCCCCACACACATACACACTGTGTTTAAAGTGTTTAACAAAGATAGACCAATATTTGTAAGTTCGAGGTCAAATTTTGATCACAGCTCATACAATTTCGTTCATTATACTTGTTTTTAAGACGCATACGATTGGACAAAGTTTTTAAAAACAAGAGATGTCCCCCTTTTCATATATATATATAAACCTCTGTTATGTTAATTTCGATTAATTTCCCTGAAGAATTTCGGACCAGATTGCCCCGAGCACAGGAAATGTTGGTAATAATCATTTCAATCTTGCTGAGATTTTACAAATGTAATTTTTTACATTGTAATCGTCGTTATTAATTATGTTCAAAACATTTTACCACATTATTGTTATTATTATTATTATTAATATTTGATCCACAAAATCACCTTCATTGGTTAAAAATTTTTTATATACATAAATCTATGTAAATTAGAGTAAAGCCTCAAGTAGATCTAATTGAAAACAACAGCATTGTTCGCTTATATTGTCTTGTTCTAATATTATTAATGGGAATATTTAAAGATTAGAAAAGACAGTTATCTTTGCTGAACTTCGTGTTCTCTTCTTTTTAAATGTTTTAATAGAGCAATTAGCTTGACTAATATAGTATCTAAAGTCTTAGATTTGACTAATCCCACATAGACTGAGCAGCAGAAATAAAATTCAGGAAACCAAATAGAATTTTAGACCAATAAGAGGATGTGTATTGAGTATTATGATTCACTCTTTAATAGATTCTGGAAAATAAGTATACATACTCATGTCCAACAATAACGGTATTTCTTGATCTAATGGTGATAATCTGTTGGATTAACTGAGAGAAGTGTTCCATCAATTTGTTTGCCTGTAAAGGGACTGCCATGAAAGCATCTCACATTAATCAAGGCACCACACTCGAACTCATTCAGCCGTGTAGGAGTGCTTCCACAGATGTAAGAATAAAACTTGACCACTATGGTAGAGTATAACTCCTTTATAGATAAGATTTTATTTTGATAAATCACACAGTTGATCACGGATTGATATCAGTTAGAGAACCATTGAAAACCAGGGAGTACTGGACAGCTGCTGTTTCATCCTAGTTTGGGAGTCACCGGTAGTATGCACCCACTGGGTTTCGAACCCAGGACCTTCCAGTTACAAGGCAAACTCGTATACCATTCAGCCACTGAGACCCGATTCAATGGCTCATGGGTTCGAATCCCAGTGGGTGCGTACTGCCGATGATTCCCAAACTAGGATGAAACAGCAGCTGTGTCCAGTACTCCAGTGCTGGTTTTCAATGGTTCTCTAACTGATATCAATCCGTGATCAACTCGTAAAAACATAACTAACCCTTACAAACCAAACTATGGAAAATCACACAGTGTTATACGGTAATATAACACTGTGTGATTTATCAAAATAAAATCTTATCTATAATAGAGTGCTTACAAAGAGTTATCTTTTTAAGTGATACCTACTAGTGATTGATGTTCTCCAGGGATGCTCACTGTCCCCACTTTTGTTTAATTTCATCACATAAGTATTGCTGGATATAACCTGAACTGATTTTAACGAGCTGGGGGCTCATTTATTACATTACTGGGGAACAGTCTACACCACTTACAGTATGTCGATGACATTGTTCTCCAAAGTGATGAAATGCAGAGTAGTTGCAGGCAGATAGCCATAGGAATCGTTGTTTGACCTATGTTTCGTGCTAGTTCCCACTCATCAACAAGGTGTATCTGCAACCCTGAAAAGAAACTCAAGACCCTTCTGAGATTCGAATCCACATCCGAGACGTTACCACCAGTTAGCTATTCGAGGTGGCTTGCCATTGATCTCCTGTAGGACTGTATTGGATATTTTTGACTGGTCACTAGTTAGTAACTAGTGTTATGTGCCTAGTCCTCTGTTTGATGCAGACTGAATTCTATCACATCAGTCAAGTTTGAAATGCGGCCACCATTCTAGGTGGGACATGAGTATCTTCAAGGTTGCAGATACGCCTTGCTGATGACTGGCGAGTGACAACTAGCATGTAAACTAGGTCCAAGGCTTTCTACCGACTGCCTCCAACCACCTAACTCTGACAATTCACAGTGCAATGTAATGGTGAGCCACCTAGTGGCATGGTGTGGCCACATTGCAAACTTCACTGATGACAGAATTCAGTCTACACCAATATAAAATGGAGAGTCTTCTGAACAACTTGAGCAGAAATCTTAGAATCTTTTGGCATGCGATTTTCCCCTGTTAAATGTAAGCTGATACTGTAAGGCTGATCTATGATAACTTCCTGCTGTAAGACAGGGAGTAAAATTGGTTGAGTGTGTCGGCCACTTCACTTATTTGTGAAATTCAATGAGCCTCTAATCGACCACAAAGTGCGAGATATATAGGCTTTATGCCGTCGAATGCTTCGTCCCATATAAGTCAATTAAAACACTAGCAAAGTTCGGTCAAATGAAATCCACCGTAGAAAATAATCAACGTGCAGATGTACAATTCAGAAATAACGAAATCCGAACAAACTTCTGTTCCTCAAATACCGTTTAACTATAAGATAATTATAACAGACTTAATAGAATGTTGATAGACCAAACAGGATCAATCAATGAGTGTGGTTACTAAGCAACGACAGGATAAACTAAAATACAAACACGAACTACTAAGTGGTAATAAGTAGTATATATTAAAATACAAAATAAATGAGAACGGAACCAGCACACTGACACACACGCACACGCCTACACAACTTACTTTATCTACAATGCTAAGTAGTCGATATTTAGCACCAAATGTGTTCAATTTCATACTTTCTGGTATTACATAGTTCGTAGCTGATTTCAGCTTATAATCACCCATTTGTTCTTGAGCTAATCGGATCGCTTCAACATCGTTTGGATCTTCATAGTCATCTGGCGGTTTCATAGCCTGTAATTCTTCCCACTGTTAGAGTTTAAAAAAAAAGAAGACAAAAGCAGAAGAGAAATGAAACAATTGAGAAAAATTTTCTAATTCATGAATAACCCCCATCTCTAGACAATAATAAAAACAAAACACGTGGTTCAGCAAAGAGTCTCTTTTTGGAGGCGAATACATTCATTTAGCTGGATGTAGAATCGCAATTGCATATAGTCCGATAAGAATAAAAATCAGTCACGGTTATTGTTGTCAAGATATTTCAAAAATATGATGAGTAATCAAACTGTAACTAGGGTGGGTGGGTCTAGGGTGAAGAATGGTAAGAGGCTAGTGATGATGCGTCGTCAATTCAACTACTCCTACAGTGACAGTTATGTTAAGCGTACTACTAGACAGCCTAGCCAATAGGTTACTGAACACCTATCGCGGCCAGTAAGAACTATCCAAAGCCTTGTTATGTCTAACTTAGTAGATAGTCGCTACTCAGTATACAAAATGAAAGTATTTACAGTGAATCATCGCATCCTACCGACTATTGCCAATAGTTTTGTATTCATCAGTTCAGTATTATGTAATACACCCCTCAGAATATTACAGACATAGGAACAGAAAGCTCAGCAAACTGATATACTTTCGGCGATTTCATTCTCAAAAGTAGCTAAATAGTTGGATTTTTATACAAAAATTGAAAATATTTATTTCCCGATACAAATTTAAAACAAGCAACAAAGCAGGTTAATAAAGCAGGATTTAGTGAATTCATCAAATTTTGGTAGAACTCGTCAGCTACTCAGTACTCTACATACACATATATATATATACTTTTGCAATTACATTGGGAGATATAAACTGATAAGTAAACAAACTACATTGAATTAGTCTTGCAGAAAGACACGTGTGAATGTTTTCCAGGTCATGATCAAATAGATAAGGGGAGAGAGAGTATGAGAGATCAAAATTAGGATAAAACGCATTACGCTTTAATTACATCACTTAGATAAACAATCAATCATCAGGGAATATAACGAGAATTGCAAACAGACTAATATCAATAGTAATAGTTTTAATAACAATAATAATAATAGTGTTGAAGTGAGTTAAGATAATCCTACTGATAAGGCATAGTTTTAAATGAATCAAGAATAATAATAATAATAATAATAGGTAGAATAATAAGTAAAACTTATTACCATGGTAGATTTAGAGCCACAACCATCTCCTTTTGTACACGGAGACCTGGTTTATAAACTCGAATTGCACAAGCCTCCGTGATTGCAAGCATCTTCTTGTTTCTTTATCTGTCTGCTGACAACTGTGAATGACTTGACCACGTCGATATCATGTGTCCGTAGTCCACAAGATGTTTTGTTATTGAGGATTTTGTCACTTTGTAGTCAGCTGTTTTCAACCATTTTGGAAAAATGATCCGTCATGCGAGTAGACAGTCGCCTTTCTGTACGACCTATGTATATGCTTCCACAAAGACCCTAAACTGATATACACAGTTTAAAGGGTCGAGGATTGGTGACTGGTCTTTCCCAGATTGCTGAAGCACTCGCTTAGGGGTGTTAAGGATAACACGTTTTGCGGTATAGTAAGTTCTCTTGATGGCTTTATCTAGTCTTCGTTTGACTACTTCCTGTACATCATCTCCTTTGAACGGCAAACTGATATACACAGGTTTCTTCGGAACTTTTTGGATTGTTTTGCAGGGGCTAATTTCCTTAGAGTATTTATTAATGAACTCAAGATATTCATTCTTAATTTTGATCTCTCATACTCTCTCTCCCCTTATCTATTTGAACATGACCTGGAAAACATTCCCATCTGTCTATCTGCATGACTAATTCAATGTAGTTTGTTTACTTATCAGTCTTATATCTCCCAATATAATTTCAAAAGTATACACATCGGTGTATGTAGAGTATTCAGCTGACGAGCTCTACCGAAATTCGATGAATACATCATTAAATCCTGATTTATTAACCTTTATTGCTTGTTTTATACATAAGTTTGCACAGTTACAATTCTTACTTAATTTTATTTAAAAACGAGGAGAGATTATAATTTTCAACTTGATATGAAATTTCGAAGGTGTGAATATGGATCCCAGTGGACGTATTATTATATTACATTTGATTATTCACTTGGGTCTCGAGTAGAACACACGCCTCCACTTTCTTCTATTTGTCGTTATCCTCTTCAGCTGACTGGGCAAACGACTGACCATAATCTCACATCTCCTCCTCGAACTCGCCACACTATCTCCTCCACATCATCCTCCATCACCGACAACCCACTCGTCGCCTCTTCCCATTGAGATTCCACTCGAGAGATGACCTGCACTGAACGCGATTTCCCTTAACGGCCTCCTCAACGTTATGCCCATTCTATCCATCTTCAAGTTCTCATACATATTTGTTGATCAATCAGCTCTTGGTTGACTCGTCACCAGGCAGAGTTCCTTGTTGCTAATTCGTCCTGGTCGGCTAGCCATCTGATATTCACTATGAAGCCAGTGAGGACAGTTGTTGATAAAAGTTGTCAACAGGCTGTTGGAAATCCTTTTCGTGACACACAGTGTAAGTTTATGACCAGTATAGAAGAAGTCACTTTATATTTGTGTTGAAATGACCCCGAATCTTGTTCTTTACACTGGCTCGCAGAGTGAGTTGACAAAGTTTCCAAACTGGTTTCAGACTGATGACGAAGTATCTCGCCTTTCCTATCATGGCTGGTTTTGACATCATCCGCTATGCCTGTGATTGAAACCATGCTTCTTGGACAGAAACGTGAAGGCAAGAAGGAGCCTCTGTCAAATCTCTCCTGTTGGTGCTAATTGGCGCCGTTTGTTGTCGTCGTGGCTGTTGCTGTTGGTTGGTTGGTTATCTTCAACTCTATGTTCACCTGCAGTCCTGTCTTCACCTGCTTACTCAGCCAGTTTGTTGATTCACGCCTGCAAGTGTTCGAATTTGTATAAGTGGCATCAAACATGAATTATCCACGCGAGGAATCCAGATCTTCTAGAGTCTTCTGATCGGTCCAACATATTCCTCTCTTCTGATTCCTAACTCACAGTCTGATGCATAATCCACAATTAAGAATACCATAGTTTGGTGATAATAGGTAGGTAGCCAGCTTGTCTTACTCCTTTCTGCATTCACTTCGAACAACTCGTTCAGTGAGTTTCCCATTGTGGATCACCTGACAGGGGCATTGTCGTATAGCCAGCCAGTTGTTGAATGAGGATGATAAATACTTGGGCACTACATGCTATGGTGTTGAAATAGTTTTCAAATTACTTCTCGGTCAACACGCTGCTTGTCGAAGGCCTTTTCAAAGTCGATGAAGTCAAGGTGGAAATAGGTTTGACTGCTATTCTATGCTTTGTTGTGTGACGATGATGCACAGATTAGCAATTTGAACAGCCCATGACTTGCCTTTCCTAAATCCAGCTTGTTCTGGTGGATAGCGGAGTTCAGCATTCAGTGCATCGTTTATTTTTCTCCAGGATGATACGACTTAGTATTTTGCTTGGCGTAGACAAGAGTATGATATCACACTATTTCTTGCAAAGACAGGTGTAAGTTGCCCTTCTTTGATAGTCTGACAAGACAGCCAGTCTTTCTTCAGTCATACAAACTATCCCTTCATTTTGTTTCTATGCAAATTTCATTCACACATGTCTTTGTTAGAAAAACTGTTCTACATTATTATACAACTATTTTTTGCAATCTTATATAATTTTGTCTATATTTCTCGTGTGATCTGTATGCATACCTTCAAACCTTCATATCATGCCATAGTACAGCTGCTTCTGACGAATAAATTGCCAGGTAGATAACTCTGCTTAATTTCCTGTTGTTTTTTTCTGTCTAATTATTTTGTGATAAGAGTGGAAACAGAGACCATGGAAGTAAATAAATAACGAAGATCTTATTAGCCATCTAGTGGACCAGAGTTTGGCGCTTGAAAAGACAAGTTTTGGTTGCCAGTCTCAGTGATTTTACCATCATCAGTCACTGAGAATGCCAGTACATCCAGCTGACAAGTGACATCAGAACGAAATGTGAGTGTTGGATTCCACTGCTAGTCACTAGCCACCAAAATTAGTTCAAGTTAATCCTCAGAGATAGTTGAAGCCTCTGTAGTAAACGTTGACATGTTAAGTGCGTCGGTGGCACAGTGGTTAGGACTCTCGCCGACCATGCATATGGTCCGGGGTTCGAGCCCACGCCGGCGCATACCTGATTTCTACGGTCGGCCTGCAAAATTTGGGCTACCGATATCCATGCTGAAAATTCCATACTTGTAACAAAAATACAGTGTGGAATCAAGCTGTAAATCAAAATAATAAAAAAATAAGTCAACCGACTGTCGTGGCCTAAGCGGTCTAGGGGACAACTCTTCGACGTCTGAAACGATGAGTTCTTTGGTTTGAATCTTGGTTAGAACACCATCACCTGCTAGGGAGTGCTGGTACATCCCTCTGAAGAGTCGAAAATGAGACTAGGCGCCCGTCTTAGAATCCACTGCTAGCCACCATCATCCGAATGACATCATGTTAACCTTCAAATATTATTGAAGCAGCCTTACTAAGACTCAATGTATCAACCAACAGCTAGTCATATTTGTTCAAATATGAATCAACCCAAAGAATAGTACAAAATATCAATCACTTTACCTGTGCTCGACGAGCAGCTCTTCTTTGTCTGGCTAATTCAAGTACATGTAGCTTTTGTGCAACTCTTAAACCACGTGCTCCTTTCACTGGTGCTTGTGTTTGTTCTACATCACTTTTTGTCTTTTCAGATCCTTTTTCTACTTGATCAGTTGCATCTAAAAGAACATTTTTTCGATTATGAAATATAAGGTAGATAAAAATGATTTATTTTGAACAATTTATTTAGAGTAAATAATTACACAAACTACTACTTAGAAGGGATCAATATGCCATTAAATAGTGTCATGCCTCAATCACGAAATGTACAGAACTCAGTGCAACTAACAAGATTTGTATTTTTAACACTGGTACAAAGTCAGTCAGTCAGTCCTTCTTTATGGTTCAAAGACTTGGAGCACGCGCTACCAACAGCATCTCTAACATATCAGTTTGTTTATTAGATGAACCACTCAGTGAGAAACAGTATTATTATTATTATTTACTGGATGACAAGCTTTGGAACAAAATTTATTATTCAAGTGTTGGTTTGCAGGATTTGATTGGTTTCAGGGTTTCATCATGAGCTGACATTAGTTAGAGAACCATTGGAGAACCTGGGAGTACTGGACAACTGTCTCGTCCTAGTTTGGGACTCTTCAGCAGTACTCACCCACCGGGATTCGAACCCAGGACCTTCCGGTTACAAGGCGAGCTCGTATACCATTAGGCCACTGGGACCCGATCCAATGGTCCTTGAATTCTAACTTCTGCCAATTCACGACATAGCGCGACCGCTAGCCAATGTCTTCGGCGAGTATTTGTCCTCACACCCGACCAGCTGCACCCTACTGGTCACGACTTCCCACCGGAACCCAGGTAACTACCTACCTGAATAGGGCCAGTCGCCACTGAGCATCTCATTGGTATTCAAGTGTTGGTTTGCAGGGATTTGATTGGTTTCAGGATTTCATCATTTTTTCATAATCATATCATCAATTATAATCATACAACTTCGAAAATTGAGTTATATATTTTTCTTTATTCTTTCCTTATTGCCGTAGGGGTAGTAGACCTTTCCATATATCTCGGTGGACAGGTGTTGAATTATTCCTATTACACGTGTTTCCAGTTGATTTTATACATAAAGCTTCCGTCATCAATATCTCCCTCTACCCAGATCTTATATTATATTTTAAATCTGTCATCTTATCCCATCCCATTCAATGGTATGGTTGTGTAAAATTGCATGTGGTGAGTGCTATGGCTGAACTGTTCTCTAAATTTCTCATCTTATTCGGATCAACTAATCTAGATTTTGCTGCTAGGTATTTGTGCTCCGTTAGTCTGACCGCCCCAGATTCTACTAGTTTGAGTTATGTTTTTCACCTGACAACCCTTGGGAGGCAGGGTATTAGATAAACTAAATTATTTTGTTTAATTGGCTTCACTGGCAGAATTCTTTAACCGACGAAGCTTCTTTCAAATTGAGTTTATGGAGGGGGGGGGTTTGAATGCCAGGCACTTTTATTCCTACCTTGTTAAGAATTTTGCGTAAGGTTTCCGAGGTTCCTTCCTTGTATGGAAGTACTACTGATGATTTAGTAGTCATAGTGATGATAATAATAATAACAGTAATAATAATGATAATAATAGTAATATTAATGACGACATGCATGTCAAACATGGGCAAGATAATGACAACACCAACAATAAGGAATCTAAATCATCAGTAGGAATTCCATACAATTTCCAACGCATCATAAGAGTACAGGATATATTCAAAAAATTTGTTAAAATCACCATGCAAACGGTGCAGATGAAACGTACGTCGGTGGCACAGTGGTTAGGACTCTCGTTGACCATGCATATGGTCGGGGATTCGATCCCCTGTCGACGCACGCCTGATATCTATGGTCGGCCTGCAAAAAATTTGGGCTACCGATATCATATGCTGAAAATCAAGCTGTAATCAAAATAAAATAAAAAATAAAAAGTATATACATTTGCCTTCACCGCTTAAAGGATAAGCAGCAACTGAACTGATGGCATCTAAACTTCGAAAAATAATAGCTAAAACATTGGCATGCACCTACCAACATGGTTCGAGCATAGGAACTTCCGGTTACAAAGGCTAGAGAGATCGTGAACCATTAAGCCACTGGGATCCACCAATTCAATGGCCAGTTAATGAATTCTTATCTCTGCCAATTGATAAAATAGGGCGACCACTTTGCAGTATCTTCTTCGATGAGTTACTGCCTCACTTTCAACCTGCTGTACCCTACAGCTCACGGTTTCCCACTAGATTCATTAGCGACTGGCTCTATTCAGTCAGGTAGTTATCTGGGGTTCTAGTGGGAAGATGTGATCAGTAGAGTGCAGCAGGTTGAAGGTGAGGCAGTAACTCATCGAAGAAGACATTGCCAAGTGGTCGCGCTACATCATGAATTGGCAGAAGTTGGAATTCGTGGAGTGGTCATTGAACCGGTGCATCCCAGTGACTTAATGGTCTACGGGGCTCACTGGCCATGTAACCAGAAGGTCCTGGGATTGACCAGTGGTGGGTGCGTCCTAATCAAGAGTCCTAAACTAGGCGGACGGAACAACTGGCTGTCCAGTACTCCCTGTTGGCTTTCCAATGGTTCTCTAACTGATATCAGCTCATGATGAAATCCTCCGACCAATTAAACTATATATGTCATTTTCATATTGTATCTATTATTGCCATTTACAATGTTTAGCAAAAAAAAATCTTACCATGTTGTGTATAACGTGCTTTCATTGCTTCATCGACCAGTGATTTCTCTTTCATTTTACTGATTTCGTCGTATAACTTTAAGTGCTCATCGCTTAATTGATTTGTACGTATTGATGAGACACAATGTGCAGTAGTGAATGCTTTGACGGTGATACGATCACAGTCTAATGGTTTTATAAATCTATAAATATAAAGAACGAGGTGTGTTTTTTACAAAAGGCTTGTAGCATGGAGGAAGGCAATGAAACGGAAAGAAACTAAGTCTAGCATGAAATACAACATGCCCTGTGGTAGAGGGATAACTCGATTATGGGTAAAATTTATTTTGATAAAGTCTCGCAGTGTGTTGTATACAGTAATAATTACTGATGACGTCATCAGTTGTTGGAACACTGTCACATGTATTGCATGCCAACAATCATTATGTTTCTTGATATTAGGGCTGCCTTCGGTTCGTTGGACAGAACTGTCTGTTAGTGAGGGGTGCAACAAAGGAGTTTTTGTTAATATCTTGAAAGCTCTATACAGAAACACCTCGAGTAGAGTGAGGGCATACAACCAACTATCATCACTGTTCCCAACCAACACTGGGGTCAGACAGGGTTGCCCAATCTCTCCATTTCTCTTTAACTTTGCCATCGATGACATTCTGGAGTCAGCTCTGAAGGAAGTGGTGTTAAGGTGGTGTAGATCTGCTTCCTGAAGATAGACTTTTCGATATCGAGTATGCAGACGATATCGTCTTACTGTGCGATAGCATGCAGGCTGCTCAAATCGCACTTAATCAGTTGGTGATCAGTGTCTGTAAGTATGGTATGTGCTTTGCGCCGTCTAAGTGCAAAGTGCTGTTACAAGATTGGTAGGAGCCTGTACTTGCACTCACTCTTGCGGGTGGACCTCTTGAAGTTGTTGATAAGTTTTTTTATCTGGGTATTTGTGTGAGTGCTGGTGGAAGGGTGATGGATGAGATTTCCAACTGTATCATGAAGGCTAGGGTGTCATACATCAACTTCAGCCACCTCTGGTGCGTCGCGATGTTAGGCTGGCTGTCAAAGGTCGGGTATAAAATGCTTCGGTGCGGGCTGTCTTGCTCTGTGCCTGTGAAACCTGGCCTCTCCGAGCTGAGGGTGTGCGGTGACTCTGCGTGTTAGATCATCGCTGTCTCCACAGGATTGCTTGCGTTCGATGGTATCATCGCGTGATTAATTCTGAGGTTCGGCGGCGACGTCTGCTTGAACACGGTGGAGATCACCATTTGTTGGGTATCGTCATTTAGAAACACCTGGTTCAGTGGCTTGGACATGTGCTGCGAATGTCATTCCACAGGCTTCCGTACAAGTCTCTCCTCGATAGCCAGCCCTGTGACGGGATGGGAAAAGCGGTGAGGTGGTCAGCCCATGACGTGGCGTCGTGGGATGAAGGATATTTGTTATATTAGCCTCGGTTGGTGCGTCGAAACTCCTTGGTTGAGTCCGAGAAATAGCTCGAATCAATGGCTCGAAACGTTATCGGATATGGCCAAGAATCATAATCACTGGCGAACGTGTTGCAATTTCCTTCTTTCTTCCCTTCCCGATGATAGTTGACGAATACTGTTTGAACTGATTAAGTATGACCTGTTTCCTTCCTGATAGAGCTCTTTATCCGTTCTCCACCATATTTTTACTTTTAATGTATGCTGTTTTATTATTATTGTGCGACGCATCTTTCTTGGTGCCATATTGTACCAAGTTTTTCTGCGTTTAAATAAATAAATAATTCTTTGGGTTACTCAATAAAAAATGACCATGTCATATTGTGAAGGATATTAAAGGATGGCAGACAGCAGGGCAAGTAATGTACCACTTAGTTAGGTCGTTGCATCTGTATTTGACAGACACCTGAACTCATGTGAAAAACTGTCCAAATGCATATTGTCTGACTCTCAGGAACACCCTCCCCCTCTGGTCACAACTCTCCCTTTGCATGTAGAAGTCATTATAAAACGTTATATGCTCGCTTGCATAACCAAGTACAGAAGCTCAACAATACCCTATTTGACCTGCCGGAGTTCTATATGATAGAGATGGTATTAAGCGGGAAACTGACAAATTACCATGTTATTGGCAAAATAATTGGCTCATTTATCCTCTCCTATTGGTAACCTATGGTGATACTATTTCAATTAACTTATCATATTAGCTATTAACGTTATTAGAAGTTATTTGGTTGATGATGACTTGCAGTGGAATCCAGTCAGGATGCACATTTCGTCCTGTTTGGGACTCGTTCTCGAGCTGGATGTACCTGCATTCCACAGTGATTGATGATTTCCCAGATGATGAGTCCTAAACCGGACAAAATGCGCATCCTGAATTCCCCTGCTATCAGCACTCACTAATTAACTTCTCAGTGTATGCCCAGACATCATCAAAGCATCTGCACAAGAAGCCGATATGTCAATCTGAGACCATGGAGCACTTCGGTTGAATCAGTCGACGGGAAAATCTAAAATTGAATTAAAATATTAACATTATTATCACCATAATTTTTCATTTGTTGTACATTTTTGACTTTCTTGTCACTGTTATCATCAATCCTGTGATATTATTTTTCTGTTTTTGTTTCTGCTGTTGTCGAGTATATTAAATGCAATAATTATTATTTCAGGATTTCATCATGAGCTGACATTAGTTAGAGAACCATTGGAAAACCAGCTAGGAGTACTGAACAGCTGTTTCGTCCTAGTTTGGGACTCTTCAGCAGTACTCACCCACCGGGATTCGAACCCAGGACCTTCCGGTTACAAGGTTAGCGAGCTCGTATACCATTAAGCCCCTGGAACCCGATCCAATGGTCCTTGAATTCTAACTGCTGAAGAGTCCCAAACTAGGACGAAACAGCTGTCCAGTACTCCCAGGTTTTCCAATGGTTCCCTAACTAATGTCAGCTCATGATAAAATCCTGAAACCAATCAAATCCCTACAAACCAACATTTGAAAAACAATTATTGTGCCAAATGCTGAAAATTCCACACTGTCTCATAGGTGATGTTTTTTGCGATTGGTTTCGTTTTATGACCTGGTTGATTTAATCGCAAAGTTTTTGTTGTCCAACCCTATCTAAACAACATCTTCAGCGTAGGTTTCAGTGTGAAATGAATTCATTTACAATTCTCCATCAATGATGTAATAGTATCTCATGGTGACCGCTGTTCTGACTAGTTGTTAATTTGTGTTTCTACTCGCAGGATGCAGCATTTTCCAAAATGGTTCAAAACAGCTGAGTACAAAGTGACAAAACCCTCAATAACAAAACATCTTGTGGACTACGGACACATGATATCAACGTGGTCAAGTCATTCACACAGTTGTCAGCAGACAGACAAAGAAACAAGAAGATGCTTGCAATCACGGAGGAGGCTTGCGCAATTCGAATTTATAAACCAGCTGTCTTTATACAAAAGGAGATGGTCGTGACTGAATCTACCATGGTAATACGTTTTACTTATTATTCTCTACTTGTTACTACTATTATTCTACCTCTTATTATTATTGTTATTATTATTATTATTCTTGATTCATTTAAAACTACGCTTTATCAGTAAGATTATCTTAACTCACTTCAACACCATTATTATTATTGTTATTATAACTATTACCATTGAGTCATAGGAGTTAATAAGAAGACAATTGCAGTGAAGAAAATTTTCTTTTCGATGAAGTCATCATCAGCTAGGCTGTACATTCGTGTATTTATATCAAATGGATGGGAAAGTTCCAGAATAATATCGGTCAAGGGTCAAATTAATAAACTGATATGTATCCATATATATATATATATATATATATATATATATGGTGGTCTCTCTTTCTATTGCTCTCTTAGTCTGTGACCATTTCACTTTGATGAACCTGTCTCCTTTAACAATGTATATTCCCCTTATAGTATATATATAATATGTGTGTTTGTTGACAGTCTGATCTTGGTGATATATATATCCATATAATATGTGTGTTTGTTTGACAGTCTGTTATATTTCGCTATGTATATATGGATCGATACTCCATTATAATTAGCCAATCATGTTAAGACTGTCTATTGATTTGTTCACACACTTTGTCTGGAACATTTCATATATATTTTGCTCTCACACTCTTGTGTGACATTGATTCTCCTTGTGTTTGGAAAATAGAAGTATCATCGCAACCCTAGTGGTCTTCTGATTTTCCGTCTTTCTTGTGTCAGGACTATTAAATTCTCGACCAGTACATAACAGTAATTTGGCGACGAGTACATAACAGTTTGGCGACGGGGAAAACTCAGATAATTCACCCAGCACCAGAACATAATATAAACATTCAAATTAGGAATAAGAATGCCATAATAAACAGGGGGATGGATAAAACTCAAACAAAGTAGCATCATAATAACTAAGATGATTGACATTGTGCAATTAGGGGTTAGAAATGTAGAAATAACAACAATAGACAGGATGTTTGGATAAAAAAACTAATGTGATGAATAATTGACGAAAGATCCTGTCCTAATCTCATATGAGAATGCAGAACTTTTCAAATCAACCGTTTTAAATTGCTGCCTCGATTATATCAACAAAAAACCCAGCCTCTGTAACGTCCTACCTACTTCAAATCTTCAATAATGCCCACCCAAACATCGACTTTACACCTGAGACTGAATCCAACGGAATGTTCCACTTCCTCGACGTCCATCTGACAAGAAACGTCGACAACTCCCTGAAAAGGTCCATATACAAAAAGCCTACATGGAATGGACAATTCATCAGCTTTCAAAGCTTCGTGCCCCTAAGCAGAAAGCGGAACCTGATATACGCTCTTCCCTCAAGGGTCAGAAGATATGCAGCGAGGAAGTGGTTGAAGAAGAACTGCGGAATCTTCGGAAAGCCCTGATGGAAAACGGTTTCCCGCCCAGATTCATAGACAAGAATCTCAAATGTAAGAAGACTTCTGAACAAGTCCAATCCGTTCCAAAGAAAATACTTCTGCTTAATCTAGAATTCAGAGGTGATATTGAAGCAGAAATCCTTCGCGAACGCCTCTCACAATTGCTGAGGAAAACATACTTCGCCGCTAGCCTACGACTAACGTTTTCCTGCAAGAAACTGTTCATTCAGAACGCGAAAGACAAGCTGTCACATTGGGCCACCTCAACGTGCATATA